TCACTGAATTATGCCCAGTCTCGCTACCTCGGATGCTTTTAGGCTGTCCTGTGATCCTCTCAGCCGCCTGCTGCATCACCCTCTGCCTGTGGCCTTCAACAGTGCAACAGCTGTGCCCCAGCATCCACCTATCTCCTCAGAAATAGTGTCGGCTGTCTTGGAACATTCACTGGTTGAAGACCAGTTTCCCTCTCATGCACTTTGCTTGCCTCAGCTCACTCAGTCCCTCCTGCCATCCGAGCTGTCTGATTATCGGCCCCTGCCCAAGGCCAAGCTCATGTCACAGCAGCGTACTGATCCATGCTTGGGTCGGGTGCTCTACTTTGTGGAGCGTCAGAGGCGGCCATCCAGACGTGAACGCCCACGTGAGTCTGCTGAAACCCTGCGGCTGCTCCGACATTGGGAGCAGCTCACCATCAAAGCTGGCGTTCTCTATCACTCTTCAAAAGATGCTGTGACAAAGAGGAAGATTTACCGATATCTGGTGCCCACTAACTTGAAAGATAAAGTCTTGAAGGGTATTCATGATGAGGCGGGTCACCAAGGTCAGAGACGGACGCTTTACTTGGCTAGACAACGGTTCTACTGGGTTGGGATGGAGAAAGATGTGAAAGATTATGTGCAGTGTTGTCGGCGCTGTCTGGTCAGTAAGACTCCTGAACCCGAGGCCAGAGCACCACTCGAGAGTGTTAAGACCTCTAGACCTCTTGAGTTGGTATGCATTGATTTTTGGTCGGCTGAAGATTCCTCCAACAAGTCTTTGGATGTGCTGGTCGTGACAGACCATTTCACTAAACTGTCTCAAGCCTACCTTTGTCCCAATCAGTCAGCCAAAGCTGTTGCTCATCAACTCTGGAACAACTTTTTCTGTATCTATGGCTTCCCAGAGCGAGTGCATTCCGATCAGGGTGCAAATTTCAAAAGCAGTCTGATTGCAGAGATGCTCCAAGTTGCCGGTGTTGAAAAATCTCACACGACACCTTACCACCCCATGGGCAATGGAGCAGTCGAAAGGTTCAACCGCACTCTGGGAAACATGATTAGAGCCCTTCCACCCAGAGCCAAGCAAAAATGGCCCCAACTCCTGCGTTCACTAACCTTCTCTTACAATGCAACGGTCCATGAGACCACTGGGTTTGCACCCTTCCTCTTAATGTTCGGCAGAGTTCCCAGGCTGCCTGTGGACATGATGTTTCAGTCTGTGCTCATAGATGAACAAGTGGTGGACTATGATGTCTATGTGCAGTGTCTTCGTCGTGACCTAGCTGAAGCTATCCGTATTGCTCAGATTTCAACCACGAAACAACAAGAAAAGCAGACTGAGCTATATAACCGCAAAGTGAGGGGTGCACCTGTGGAGGTAGGAGATAGAGTGTTGCTGGCGAACAAGGGAGAACGAGGGCGGAGAAAGCTGGCTGATCGCTGGGAGGGACACTTGTACACTGTCTTGGGAAAACAGGATAACACTCACATCTTCAGACTCAGGAACTGTGCGACTGACCAGGAGAAAGTGGTCCACCGGAACCTGATAATGCCTGTGAACTTTCTGCCAGTCCCTACTGACACTGAGGATGCTGGGTCCATATTCAATGACCAGTCTGATGGGGCTATGTCTGGGTCTGTGCTGGGTGCTGAACAAGATGGATCAACTCTTCATCCTGGATGTGGAGCGGAAGACAGGACTGTCTGTTGGGTATCTCAGCTCCCTGTCTCCCATGGAAATGAGTCGACAACTATGGATGATGTGGATATGAATGACTGTGCCGGATCTGACGCACCTGATGAGATTATCCCTGCCAGTCATATGGAGAGAGGACCTGACAGGCAAAACGAGAATGGTTCTGTAGAACTGAACCGGTCTGACCCTTCGGACCCTGTTGTTGATACTGACTGTCCTGTTGACTTGCCCAACTCTCGACCTGCTGTCCCTACTCTTCCTGTTGACTTGCTGCCTTCTGATGCTGGTTCAGTTGTTGCATCGGAGGCAGGACCAAACCCTTCCCCTGACGGTTTGCAGAGAAGGCGGTCAAGGTATGGGAGTGTAGTGAGGCCAGTAGTTAGACTTATTCAGAATATGCACCAGAGGGTTCTTGCTGGTCGCTAGTTTTTTTTGTGTACTGCTCTTTAAAATGTATATGTATGGTTGGTATCTTTATGTCACTTTGGGGAGGATTTGAGTCATTTATTTTTTTTCTATGATGGTTGATACCTGTGTTGGACTGCTAGCGTGAATATGTCCTGGTGGTTACAATTTGTGCTGTTTTTTTATGACATGATCTCTGAGTGATTTAACATGTATATGGGCATGTGTTTACCTATGGGTGGTGGAAGGCTTTGCAACCCCTCCCCATTCTAATTCTTCAGGAATAGTCTTGTGACTGGTATACTTGGTATCTGTGGTTTTGACGGCACTGTACACATTTTTTTTTTCCTTTTCTCGGGTCCTCCTCTTGTTATACTGTGCGAAGCGAATTTGCATATAAATTTTGCAAAGCGAAGTTCTACCCCCCGAAATTCCGCCAGTATTTTAGAATGTCCCTAGGGCAATTTAACGACCTCCTCCAGCAGCTGACCTCACGGCTGGAGAAGCAGACAACTAACTACAGAGAGCCAATTGCTCCAGAGGAGCGGCTAGCCACATGTCTGAGGTAAGATTAAAATAATAGGCAATATTCTATATGAATGAAACAAAGTCCCGTTTTCTTGAAAGCTCTGGGCCCCCAGCCCTGTTATAATGTATATAAGCACATAATAGCTCATCTATAGCTCACTTGTCTCCAAGAGGAGCTGGATGGGTTTGCCATAGCGTGCTTGATAAATGAATATCATCAACAATATGACTTTTGATTGGCCAGAGGTCTAGCAGGTCCAGATATTCGCCTGCGAATATCCGAAAAATTCGACATAAGAGGGAAAAAATAAAAGACACTTTTCGCCCCGCGCAAACATCACAGCTGGGGTGGAACTTGCATTGACTTTATGCTGTTTTAAAAAAAGGCGACTAATTCGCCTGGCGAATTCGAGCCTGGTGTGTAAGGACCTTTATCCTGGAGGAAGCAGCGACACAAGGCCAGCTGAAGCAGTTTAAAAAGAACGCCCTCTCTGACATTTGCCACTTGGATACGAGGAAAGTTATCAGCTGAGCTATTAGCTGATATGGGCTGGCATGATGACCAATTTGTGCTATTTAAATAAAGATTGTTGATTGAATGTGTGCAGACGTGTTAAGCATCTTGTGCAGTGTGCCTCTATAGTGTTTGTAACAACAGACAGATGTCACATCATCGCCACCTGCTAGCCATGCTCATATGGGTGTTAATAAAGTTTCAGAGAAAATATTCAAATGCCCATCTGATTTGGACTTTGAGAAAATCTTATTCAGGTTTTTAAAACTTCAGTAGATGTGCGGCCGTAGCCTTAGTGGTGCCACCCTTCATCTCAGCCACTCAGCTGCAAACCACCTGGAGGACTGATGGGGGTCCTTAAAGGTTCAAGAGGAGCCAACAGAACCACAATACCTGCAAATAGCAAAGATTAAACTCTCACGCCTGAAAAAAAATCAGTTACAAATGAATGATTATAATTAAAAAACATGCTGTGAACTTGATCCCTGTCTAGTTCAGGCCTGTCTGTCAGAAGGCATTAATCATGATGTGGACAGGTCTGAGGTCCTGCTGAGGATAAGAATAAGAATAAGAAGAATAAGAACTTTCTTAATCCCCAAAGGGAAATTCAATTGTCTGTTGTCTCACATAATATGTCTCTAAAAATTATCTACTATTTACACAAGAGTTATAAAGTCTGATGGCTGTTGGTACAAAAGATCTTCTGAATTTTTCTGTCCTGCAGCGAAGAAAGAGGAGCCGTCCCCCACCTTTGGTCCATCAAGGTGTTGTGAAGTGGGTGATCCATACTGCAGCCCATCAACAGAGGGTGCTGTTCTCGGAGTGGCTTCAACCAGCAAGGAGGCAGACGCTGTCCATTCTATATACAGTCTATGATCCAACCACAGAGACAGCCTTTTTCACCAGTTTGTTAAGACGTCTTGCATCTTTGTGTATGATGCTTCCTCCCCAGCAGACTGCAGCCTAGAACAGAACACTTGCCACCACGGACTGATAAAACGTCTGCAGTATCTTACTACAGATGTCTAAAGTCACAACCTGTGAATGTATGGATGTTCTTGTATGTCTGCAAGACTATCTTGTACAGATTTATGTAGGTGCCAAGCATGTGAGAATGCTTCAAAGGAAACAGAAGAAAGAGCTGTATGGGATGATGACTCTGATGAAAGTGATAGTGATGCATAATATACGCACCATGTCACCATGTACAATTTGTTTTGTTTAAAGGATGGCTACACTGAGATTTGAGATTTTTTATCATTTTTATATTTGTTCTACATTTGTCTGCGTTTGTGTTTTGATCTTTATTTTCATATTCTGGAGGGATTGATAAATGTCAGATGTTTTGACACTGTGATACATGAATAAATGTTTTATAGCATATTTTGAATCAATTCAGACCTTTTGTGCATTTATTTTTGTCTTGTTACATTTTTTCCTTTATTCGAATTTTGGGGGGCGTGGTAGCAATTTGATTGACTTTCAGCCATTTATGGCCATGATGTGCTGTTTATATTTTATTGCTTTTATTACACAGTAGGTTGTGTCATTTTTATGTATGAAACATAAGCTTTTAGCTAAATTTACTGTATATATTTCATTGTGCTGGGTGCAAATCACTTGAGTTGAGACGTTTTCTTCAAGAAATTTGCTACATTTCATAATCTGAATTCACTTATGCGTATACTAAGGCACCAATAACTGTTTCAGATGTTAGGTAGATGTATTTATGACATTTGAGAAAGATTTTGTCTTGCCAGAATCAACATAGCAGTTTCTACAAGCAAAAACAGCAGCACCATATAATTGTTTTTATGTGTTACTCACATATATGTACATTTCTGGCTGGTCTTTTTTCTCACCCTGTCGAGAAAGCCACTTTCTAATACTAGTTCTGTACAGCCATGTTCAGACCATACGCGACCTGAAGCGACCTAGTCGCGTTGGTAGCTGTATTCCCGTCACGTCGCGCCCTGGTGTGTTCACACCGGGTCCAAAGCTGCAGTCGCGGAGGTCACAGGACGCGGCTGCAGCTTTGGACCCACTTCTCCCACCTTCCTTCTGCCTCCTTTTCTCCCTCATATATACATCCCGCAGCCCCTTCCAGCACTTGCGGCACACATCCACTGCAAAGACACACACATGTTGAAACATGTAGCCTAACAAGCAGGGGAAGTTTGCTATGTTTTCAGAAAATAGTCTGCTTACTGAAATAAATAAACAAACAAACTTACCAGAAAGCCTGACATCATGGGCCACCTTCACCCATGCCTCCTCCTTGGAGGTGCGGTCCCAGTAGAACGCGCACCCAATGTCGTACAGGACCGGGTGATAACTCATGGCAGTGATAAGCTGCTCCTCCATTGTGATTCTTCTTCTCCTCCTCCTTGCTTTGCCGGTTTGTTGACGTCAGCACAGCCCTGATTGGCTGTCGCGGCACGGAGTCGTTTCCCAACGTGTCCTTGTAAAGTTGAGAACGTCTTCACTGTGGACAGATGATAGATGCATATAGCATCGTTTCTTCCTTTTTGATGCACCTTTGAAGGCTGTTTTCTTTTTTTCCTTTTCTTTTCTTCCTCTTCGCTTGTCTCACTGCTAGATGCGCTCGTCCCCATGTTTGTGTATTTCTGATACTATGGCAACAAGACTCGGCTCCTATTGGTCCACGTGACAAAAATCGCTTCACCCCTCTGCATATTCGATTGCGCGTGTGCAAGTATCACTCCGCCGCAGAAAGGAAATAGTTCGACACCGAAACACTGATTACTAAAATTCGACCAGATGGCATGAATAGATATTTTTTTTAGTACTTACTATGAATAGAGCTATTTTATGAATCACAGTTTATGTTGCCCCACTGAAGTGGAACGAACCAACACGATCTCGCTCAGCCAATACAGCCTAATTTGAAGTCTGATGTATACAGTGTGAACAGGAATGGCACCAGCACTGTCCCTTGTGGAGCCCCTGTACTGCTCATTAATGTCCCAGAAACACAGTTCCCCAGCCTGACAAACTGTGGCCTTCCTGTCAGATAAACTGCGATCCAGGAAACACAGGAAGGATCCACTCCCATCCCTGTGAGCTTGTCTTTGAGTATGGTGGGTTGGATGGTGTTGAATGCACTTAAAAAAGTCGAAGAACATGATCCTCACATAAACCCCAGGTTCCTCCAGATGAGACAGGGCACGGTGAAGCATAGAGAGGACAGCATCATTCACTCCAATGTGTTCTTTGTATGCAAACTGCAGGGAATCCAGTTTGTCTTTGACCTTGGACCTCAGAAGGTGTAGAATCAACTGCTCCAGGGTTTTCATGATGTGTGAAGTTAGGGGCCACTGGTCTGTAGTCATTGAGTTCAGCAGGACATTTTGTTTTTGGTACTGGCACAATACAGGATGTTTTCCACAGAGTTGGTACCCGCCCCAGCTGTAGACTCAGGTTGAAGATCCTGCGGAGGGATAAACACAGTTCTGCAGCACAGTCTCTAGCAGCCTTGGACACACACCATCTGGACCAGCTGCCTTCCCAGGACTAGGTCTTCCAAGCTCCATCCTCACCCCTGTTTTGGTAACAGACATGGACTGGTGTTCGAGGAGGGAGGCAGATGAAGTGGTTGAGACATTTGAACGAGATGGAGGAGAGTTGTAGTGGAGATTTGTTGTGGAGAGGAAGGTGGAGTAGCAGTGGAAGTGGGTGTGACAGCAGTGTCAAATCTGTTGAAGAACAGGTTGAGGTTGAGTTCAAGTTGATAAATGGAGAGAGGTTTGGGTTGATGTTTGCACCAAGTGTTTGTCCTCTTTGTGGGTCTAAAACAGTCATTTGTGTCGTTCTCAGAATAAGCCGGCAGAGTGGGTGTAATCACAGGTTTCAGTCTCAGCCTTTAAGGATCTGGGTTTAAAACAGGATCATTATATAAGTGAATCTCTGGATGAAATTACAGATTGTGACTGAGGTCAAAGAAAAACTCAGTCTGCTGCTCGTATATTTTTAGACTTTGTTTTATATTTCCTGTTTTATTTTCTCTGTGATCTGCAGGCCTTTGTCTGAACACAGAGCCAATCTCGGATTCATGACATGCACATGCACACATACAAACAAACACACGCACATGCCCACACACATAAACACACACACACACACACACACACACACACACACACACACACACACACACACTAGGATGACGCAGGACGTGCCCATTTAAAAGAGACCCTGGTCTGTGAGGGGGTCAGGGGGTCTCAGTCAGCTCACAGGTAAGACCACCTGAGTGTGTGTGTGTGTGTGTGTGTGTGTGTGTGTTTGTTTATGTGTGTGTGTGTTTATGTTAAAGTATTTTTGGGGGTTTTCATAAATGTTTTTCTTTTCAGTGTTTGTTTTAAGTGTTGTTGACATCTGCAGGACAAACAAAGAATAGGAGAAAGTTAATTTTAATCATAACAGATTTAAAAACATGACAAGTTTATAATATATGTAATAATAATAATAATAATAATAATAATATCACACACACATATATATATTAAATAGGTTTATATTCATGTTAATATAACAGATGTATAGATAAATATAACAGGTTTGTATTTATGTTATTATAACAGATTTATAAATATATATAACAGGTTTATATTTATTTTAATATAACAGATGTATAGATACATAAAATAGGTTTATATTAATGTAAATATAACAGATTTATAAATGTATAAAACTGATTTATACATAAAAGTTATGGAAAAAATATATGAATACAAAATGTTATGATTTCTGCAGCAGTGATTGTTTCATTTCTAATATTCATGATGTTAGTTTTTCTTTATGAATTAGATTTTGTTTTTAATTACTATCTGTATATATATATTTTTTTTGTTAGAGCTGCAGTAAAGAGATATTTAAAAAACATTTTAACTGTGGTTAAAGGAAATTAAAACCATGTATGTTTTCTAAGAGATCATTAGAATTTTGTAAGGTGAAGAAGTTCAAATTACAAAGTGGGAATAAATCAGAATAAAGTAAACTGTTAAATATTTTTTCATTCTGTGTGTGTGTGCTTTAATACACAGACTGCTTCTGAATTTTTCATCAAATAAGGTTTTTCATCTCTGTTGGTGTGTTAGAGCTGAGGTTGGAGGAAGCTGTAACCTTGCAACCAGTTTGTGTAACAAAAGTACCATTTTATCATACAAAGAGGGGACCTCCCATCCATTTTCTGCATTGTAAAGAGGGGACTGCATACAGTAGCTCCAAATCAAACAAACCACACCAGTTTAATGTTTATAGAAAGAGGGACTGTAAACTGTTCCTATCATGCAAAGGAAGGGCTGCATTGTGTACCTGTATATAGGACTGCATTCTCTACCTGTTTATTGTGAAAAGTGGGGACTAACTGTACCTGTTTATCATACAAAGATGGGATTGCATTCTCAACCTTTTTATGACACAAAGAGGGGACTGCATTTTGTACTAGTGTTGTGTCGTTAATGAACATTTCGTTCAAAAGTACGGAACTGTTAAGTGAACGATGTGAACTGAATCACTCCAAGACCTGATTCGTTCCTTTTTCAGTTCAGTTGAGCTCAGCCACAAGCCTGGCATGCCGGTCATGAGTGGAACTGCAGTCTTTGACTCTTTGGCGAACGACACACAGCCAGCCAGCTAGCCAGGAGGCGGGCGGAGTCTCATGATTCACTCACAGCGAATGAATGACATGTATCAGTCAGTGAATGAAACAGTCTGTGAACGACATGTCTCAGTTAGTGTAGAAACATCAGTCAGTGAACGACATGTATCAATACATGAACAGAATGATTCAGTCGGTCAGTGAACGAATGAAACAAACTAATTCCGAATGACTTCATTCAAGCAGAGAAGGGAGGGGGTGTAGTGTTGTTCACTTAATGATAAACACCAGTTTTTTCACTGAGGCTAAGATACAACAGTGCATTATAGTGCATTTACATTAATACACATTTATAAACTTTCCTGCATGAAGGATTTAATTTCAGCCGATTTAAAGCAATACGCTATTTAATAACTTTAAACGTAGCAGAATCCCCACTACAGCTGCAATGTTTATTTATTTTTAATCTCTTCACTTTTCTGCGATATAAAAGAACGGCGACTTGTGCTTGTTTAGTGGGCATGCTTCTTGTTGCTGTGTTGCTTTTGCCGACAGCGATACACAGAGAGGTGAGTTTTTCAGGGCAGGGGAATGATTCTTTCTTCAGGACTTGGCAAATGAATGACATGTGTCACCCTGTGGACAATGCTGTGACTTCAGCAGCAGGGGAGGGCAGGGGGCTTGTTCAATGAACAAACTTTCGGCTGTGTCATTCACTTGTGTTCTGCACCGGCAGGACAGGGCTCTGAAGCACTGACTGATTCAGTGAACGAATCTTTTGAATGAATCCTTTTAATCAGTACAGTCAAAAGAACTGTTCTTCCCATCACTATTTTGTAGGTACAAAATCACTAATTTGTAGGTACAAAATAGTGATGGGAAGAAATGATAAACAGGTGTTTATCATACAAAGAGGGGACTATCTGATAATCAGAAACCACCACCTTTTTTCCTGTGGTGTTGATTTCGACAGTAAAACTGTCATATATCTGTTTATTTCTGATTAATTCAGGCTGTCACAGGTTATTTTTGGTTTAATGTTTCACCAATCACTCACCTCTTGTTTTTGTGGTAATTATGTTATGTGACTTGTGTTGTCTGCTTGCAGAGGATAATGAACGCTCTGACTGTCACAATGAATGGGCTGATGGTTGCTGGGATGATGGCTGTTTTATGTGCAGACTTGTGCTCCTCCAACACTTTGACTTCTGCACACACTGCAGGTACACTCACCTAGTCAAAGCTCTAATTACTGTATAACTAACTCTTAACATTATGATATAAAGTCTTACTAATGTCACTGCATGGTCCTGAAAACTCTGCGCTGTCTGACTGCAGAAAACGTGCCGATTGATCGGGATTGGTGTGCTATCACTTTTCTTTATTGTATATGAATTTTTCGCTCTGAAGTGAAAGGGACAAGCAAAAAAGTAGAGCAATTATTGGAGTGTTTCAAACATCTAGTGCTCTGGCTCCATTTATTATTATTTTTTTGTATAAATGAATACTTGGTAAAGGAATGTTTGTTGTTGGTGTGCTCCATTTACATACACAATATCACAGTAGTGTTAATAGTATTATTCATTTGAATTCTCTGAAGAATCTCATCATTATTTACACACTCTGGCCCTTAAAAAATTCTCAGGGGGAATTTTTTTGTTAACCTGTGTTATTTTGCTGTCTCATAAAACTCCTACATGAAGATGTCAATCTTTGTGTTTTCAGAGCAGGAAATCTTAAATGCACTGATAGATTTCAGGCGCTCATCGAGCTTGCCAGCAGCAAAGACTTCTGGAACTTCTCCTGCTGAAGGGGAGCGATCAGTTGATAGAGCATGGTCAAAAGCAGGACGGAGGATTACTGATCTGATCTACTCAAAAACCATCAAAAAACGTCAGGATGTGACCTACAACCTGAACTCCTTTGGATTGAGATACGGGAAGAGAAACCACACCTAAGCTCCACCAAAGCAAACAGATGGCGATTTATTTTCTCTGAAAACCCAACCTAGTAAGTTTACATAGTTATACTGACTTATCTGATTCTGATTTATCAAAATCTTAATGTAATTTAGATTTGATCTGATTAAATGGGTCATTTTTTGTGTTACTCACATATATGTACATTTCTGGCTGGTCTTTTTTCTCACCCTGTAGAGAAAGCCACTTTCTAATACTAGTTCTCTAAGGCCCGGACTACACGAATGCGGATATATTTCAAACCGCACATATTTATGTCCGATTAGGCCTCCCTACCACACCAAAACGGGAGTTTGGAGCACTCAAACCGGATAAATCTGAATCCGGAAAAACAAGTGGAGAAATAAAAAAATATCCGTGTCCTGTATCCGTAGTGGATTCATGTGGTTGGACTTTTACGGATCGATGACGTCAAACCGCAGCTCGCACATGCAAATTAAAAAGAAAAACAACAACAACAACGATGGCGGACAGACAGGGTATTCTTTACGTTTGTTTTGCCCTTTTGGGGCTAATTTCAGCCTTGCAAGTGAACCTTGTTTTATACAATTACATCCACCAGTCAGCCAGCTCACAGAGGCGTCTGCTGCGGCCAATACTTTTATTGGTCACATGGTCCGTCACATGGACTCGACGCACTAGCGTAGCTTCCGCAAACAATGCATGACGCATGATGCTGTTACGATTCATCGGCCAATCAGTTAACTTTGTTCCTGAATGTTTTTTTTAGCCGCACCAGATAGGATTGAGTTTGAAGGCTACGTGTGGACGCAGATATTTTTGAGAACTAACACATGTGGACAGATACATTTATTTAGACGGGAGTACAAAAATATCCTGATAAATAAATATCCATATACGTGTAGTTCGGGCCTTAGTTTCCCAACGTGTCCTTGTAAAGTCGAGAACGTCTTCACTCTGGACAGATGATAGATGCATATAGCATTGTTTCGTTCCTTTTTTTTACACTTTTGAGGGCTGTTTTCTTTTTTCCTGTTCTTTTCGTCCTCTTTGCTTGCCTCGCTGCTAGATGCGCTCGTTGCTGTGTTTGTGTATTTCTGATACTATGGCAACAAGACTCGGCTCCTATCGGTCCACGTGACAAAAATCGCTTCACCCCTCTGCATATTCGATTGCGCGTGTGCAAGTATCACTGCGCTGCAGAAAGGAAATAGTTCGACACCGAAACACTGATTACTAAAAATCGACAGGAAGGCATGAGTAGATATTTTTTTTAGTACTTACTATCAATGGAGCTATTTTATGAATCACAGTTTATGTTGCCCCACTGAAGTGGGACGAGATTCACTTTCTAGGCACTTTTTCCTCTGTCCCAATACAGCCTAAAATAGCACATCAGAGATGAGAGAAACTTAATTGTCACTTAGCTGTTAGCATTCTGGCTCAGAGATGATGCAACCTCTTGTCAATCATGTCAAATCTGGAATGTACCTTTTTTTTTTTCAAGGTTTTTTAGTTAGGGTAACAGGGTTGCCATGAAATCAGGGAATGCCAAAAAATTGGTAAATATTTATAATGACTAATATATATTATTACCAAAAACACTGTTTAACAATAAGATCATACTTAATATGTAAATGTGAAAATTTTAACATTTTGCCAACATTTTACAAATTTAAAGTCCTGTATACATACAACAATAGTCGTGAGGGACAGGCCAAAAACCTCACCCTCATCAGCATAAAAGTGATTAATATTATTTAAACTGATATTTAATTGACTTTAATTTGATGTTATATTAAGGAGAGAAGACATGGTAATGTTATATTTTTAAATTACATGTTCATTTGTTGTTATCATAATTTATGAATGATTACTTCTTGTGGGACGCAAAAGGCACTGATTTCATGGAATGACCCAAATATTGATTTTCTTTTTTATGTGATGAATCTGATTCTGAAAGTATATAACAGTGTGATCTGATATTGTTTGGTTAAAAAAAATATTGGCTAATTAAAATAAATCTGCCTCTCCTGATTTGATTGAATCTGACTCTGTTAATTAGATTTAATCTGTTTCTGTTCATTTTAATTTGATTTGATCTGACTCTGTTAATGTAATTTAATCTGACTGTTAATCTAATCCAATTTTTTGTTTATTAGATTTAATCTGATTTAGTTAATTAGATCTAATCTGAATCTGTTAAAATGATTTAATCTGACTCTGTCAATTTAAATTAATCTGTTCCTGTTAATTTGATCTAATCTGACTCTTTGCCATGTTTCTCTGCTTTAAATAAATGTTAGTTTATACACAGTGAAGTTTAGTGAAATTATGCTGTCGGTGTTGAATGCTGAATTAAAAGGTCTGACCATCAGAGAGTTTGTCTTTACTGACTTGATGACCAACTCCACACCAGTATTTACAGCTTCATTTCTTCAGTCTGAAGTTAAAGTCCTGTTTTCATACTTTTTTATTAACTCAGTTTAAACCCATTATTCCGAGTAGTCTGTAAATTTAATGCCACGTCAACATTTAGTCAACAGAATGGATAAAGATGTCAGATTGAAACTGAATCATCACACACCTGAGTCGTGTGGACAGGTGAAAAAGAGTCAAACTCTAAACTGGAGTGATTTCTGACTGTAGCTTCACACAGGGTTCAAACCCAAACATTTTAGTCCTGTATTTGTTTGATCCTGTGTGACCTTTGACCTCCACAGCTTCCTGCCAACTCTCCAAATGACCCACAGAGTCAAAGGATGAATCTCAATATGCGTTCTTCTGTGTTCTTGCTTTCTTGTCTCCTTGTGAAACGTCATCAGTCTCAGACAAGTTCTGTCTCAACACACAAGTTAACATCTCACCAAGAAGGGTTACAATAACCATATGTTTTCTTGACACACCCATTTTACCGAGGATGCATAGGATGGTAACTTGTGATATCTTGCCGGCGAAGTTATACCAGAATGCACTTCAACCCTGTGTGAGTCCGCTCCTTTCCTGGGGAAGACGCCATTGAGACGATGGGTTGTTTCTACATTTTTGTCCGTTACGATGCCCTTAAGTTAATTTCTGAGACTATTTCAGGCGAAAAATCAAGGGTATTCTTGTTAAATACAGGCGGCATTATGAACATAAATGGAAAATCCAAAATTAGCTCCAGTGTTTTCGGAGCTGAAGCTCCACAGCCCAGCTAGCGAGCGCCTGCGGGGGGGAGCTTGCTAGCAAGCTGGTCAGCATCCTCCTTAACTTCCCCATGTGTCCCTTATTTCTAGATTAGACAAAACACAGTGAAAATGGCAGAGGAAAGCCAGGCACACAACTGTAAGATATAATTTAATAACTTTTGCACTAGTTTACTGTCATTGTGATGTATGTTTATGAGAAAAAGTTTGAATTGTCAACAGTGTTTCAATATGTATCTCAGGTATCAATCTGTGGTAATGGTAACACCCCTAGTAGATAATCCAATCAATGTTGTGACATTTAAACTTTTCATGTAAGGGACATCTGAGGAGACTACAACCCCGATTGCATCAAAAAAGAAAAAAAAAAAAAATCATGTGGTGATCAGATGGTGATCCGGGTGGGCTGTTCAGCAGTATTGTGCACTATCAAGCTGTACAAAAACCTACTAACGAGTCAAATCAAACTGTGAGTGGCACCACTACGTCAAATAAATAATACAAATGATTTAATTATCAGCTCTGTCACAACAATGATAATAAAAGAACTGTCACCCAACCAAGTTGTAGTGAGTATGTATCCAACGTGTATTATTTCCACAATAACATGTTGTACATATTTTCTGTGTTTCAGAGTCTGTGTTTCCCCAGCTTGGGGAAGTAAACGGCCCTTTGAAGGATGATCATCATCTCCTCTACCACATTGTGAACAATATTGGCCACTGTGGCTCTTAGGATGGAAAATATGTCGGCTGTCACCCGGTAAGAGCTTCCACACGCCAGCCAGTACAGGCAAACAGCTACCTTGATTTCATGGCTCCAGCCATGGGGCAGTGGCCTTGGAGAGCCTGAAGGCAGGTCTAAGATCAACAGCCTCCGAAAAAAAGGTGCGGAGGATTGGCACATGCCTGTTGATCTGTGCGTACCTCTTTGGAGTTTGATTCTGTTTTTAAAAAAGAAACATATTTCAGTTTGCAACTGTTAATTGTTTTTATGAACTGTTATGTTAATAAACTGAACTTGCTTCATCCCTCAGTGTCTGTTGATTGTTAAACTTTTTATGTGAGTGAAACTCTTGATACACAAGTTCTGAGTGTGCAGACTGTTGCCTTACTGAAATCGACTCACATACAGTCAATCACCACGCTACTTAGCTAGATCTATTTCTTTTCTATTTCAGATCCACAATTTGCACTTACTGCAACTGTAACTGGACCTTACTGTAAACTGTCATTATTTTACTACGTCCATTTATGGTTCTAACTCAAAATTTCAAGAGAAGACGGTGCTGGGAAATCACCACAGGTATCAAATGTCAAATAGTGATGGAAATGTGTAACTGTAAGTGTAACTGTTCAAAAGTTTGGACACACCTTCTCATTCAATGTCTTTTCTTTATTTTTTATATGACTATTTACATTGTAGATTATCACTGACTCTGTCAGTCACTAAGTAACCCTGACAAGACACACCTGTCAGGTAAAAACCATCTCAGGTGACTACCTCATAAAGCTCATTGAGAGAACAGCAAAAGTTTGCAGCGCTATCAAAAAAGCAAAGGGTGGCTACCATGAGGAATCTAAAATATAATACATGTTTTCAGTTATTTCACACTTTTTTCTTAAGCACATGATTCCACATGTGTTCATTCATAGTTTTGATGCCTTCACTGAGCACGGAGAATCTTCAATTTAAATGGTAATGAGAATAAAGAAAATGCCTTCATTAAGAAGGTGTGTCCAAACTTTTGGCCTGAACTATATATATATATATATATATATATATATATATATATAATAACTGTGTGAAGGTGTAAGTATGGACATCACAGAAGCAATGTGAAGTGAGACGTATTTGTTTATTACAATAAATAAACATGACATCATTATACATCAGCTGACTTTGACAGCTGGGCACTCTGGCGGTATTGCGCAACACTAGCAAGAAAGCATGGTCTCAAATGTGTTAATAGCCGTTTGTGTTCTTGTCAACTTGGCAAGAACCTTCTCCCAAGAACAAGTCGCAAGTATATTCTCCCAAGGCCACAAGAATGTTCTTCGCGTTCTTGTGTATTGAGATTCGACCAAAATCTGAAGCTCCGGGTCATGGTTTACAACCGAGGTCAGGAAACAGTTTACCTGTCACTCTTAGTAAAACATACTCAGCACACACAGGAGACAAATACTGCTGTCCTCAGAGCAGGCACACTCAGATTCGTGAAATACACTGAAATAATCAAACTAACCAGCTCACTTCAGAGAGGTAATCTTATAAACATCATGATACATCCCCTCAAAAGAAAGGACAGGTCTGGTGATAGGATGGTAAGATGCAAAATTATTTAAAGAAATTTTCAATGATGTAAAAAGAAGAAAATAAGAGCAGAGCACCAATGCAAACCCCTCACACACCCCACATTCTGGCAGAGCTGACACAGATTGTATGGAGCTGCTGTCCTGCTGGTTACAGGATAAACAGCTGATGATTCAGGGGGGCATGGGGGGCCATAGCCCTCCCTTTTCAGATGGAGTTGTTAGCACAGACCCTGTCGGGGCCTGAGACCTGATCTGAGCTCCTGCTGCAGAGGTGTTTTAATAATCAGGATCATTTTTGGGATCAGACGTCAGACAGACACTCAGATTCTCTCTGAAACAACCACACACTGTTTCACAGAGCCCAGAAAAATCAGATTTTTAAGCAGACCACACACACTCACACACAAATACACACACACACACACACACACACACACACACACACACACACACACACACACACACACACACACACACACCTAACAATACAAAACAACACTGAGCTCTGACATCTAAACAAGGCAATACAAACACACTAAATCCAACAGGTCACCTTACAGTGCAAAAAATCATCCATCTGGGTTCAACTCACATGAGCTTTATGAGGTAAATGTTTCATATCAGGACCTCCTGACATAAAGCCCCCCTTACATAAAGACCTTCTAACATAAAAACCTCTATAAATCTCACAGTGTTATAGACCCTGAAGATTCAAAGTTTTCAAAGGATCTTTTCATACATATTTCAGGATGTGGCTGAATCTCACCACATAACAGGGAGTTCATTATTGTGTGTGTGTGTGTGTGTGTGTGTGTGTGTGTGTGTGTGTGTGTGTGTGTGTGTGTGTGTGTGTGTGTGTTAACAGAGGGTCAGGAGTGTGTGTGAGAGTTTCAGCGATTCAGACGTTCACCAGGTGCACTCAGGTGGCTATATTGTCTGATGAAGGTAAAAACAGGAAAATCCTGCATCATCTGGCACCTCTTAAACTTTATTATCTGAATTCCACCATCTGCCACTGCACATGCTGAGGAATCCTTGATCTGAAGCTAGATTTCTTTAGGGACAAGGACGAAGGGACGTCGAGAACAATGGAATAGATAATAAGGAGACACTAAGGAGGCAAGGATGAGAAGATAATGACAAGGAGACACTCACAGACCAAACACTGTTTTTATCCGTTAATGTATTGATGGATGAGGCTTTTGAATGATGTGGTAATTTACATGGGATATTCATTATGTTAGGGTTAGGGTCTATTTATATATTCACATATTTAGAAATTCCTCTCACCTCTGCACTTACTGTGATTTTTTGTGAACATTTCCAACCTTGAATGAAACACACATTTTTTAACGCCTTGATATTACATTTTATTTCTGTGTTGGTCAAGTTTATATTTGCTAACTGAATAAAAAAGGGCTCAGAGGGGAATGATTTTTTCTCAGGAGTTCTGAGTCTTTGAACATTTATTTAAAATAGAAATCAGAATTTAACTTGCCAATCAGAGCTCAATCAAATGTTAATCAGATACGAACGCGTGGAGGTCTGCAACCCCTATACCTGCATGTAGAGGTCACTATTGAATTTATTCCTCCGGTTACTCTGAGTTTAAAGTCTTAAAGTTTGACAGTGAAAAAGTTTACACACAGTTTATTATTTTAAACTTAAAGTACAAAAATCTGTAAATGGTCCAATAAATTAACTTGAGTGTTTATCAGAGAAAAAACAAAGAACAGTTCAGGAAGCGAGCGGGTGATCTTCATCGTATCCTTCACAGGTCAGACCATTGATGTGCTTGTGGAAAACATCTGAAAATACAACAACACATCAGTTTAACACATCCACCTGTCTTAAGGTGTATTTTAAGAGTATTTCATCACTTAAGTTTTTCACAGTATACTGAACTAAGTATTTGGAATGTTTGTCAGCTCTGAAAGCTTTTAGTATCATATTCAAACAACACATACGCAATTAGTTTCTACAACAAAAGCTTTTGATTATCTCTTTTAAATGTACTAAAGCTCCCTTTGCTTTTGACAACAGTATATTTCAAATGTATCTATTCTAATTGGTTTTAAAATCTCCTTAAGAATATATTTTAAATGTATGCCAGCACTGAAAGCTTTCAACGCTATATTAAACTGAATATTTCAGAATATTTTGTTAGAATTCTACAGAGCTGACAAACACTCTAATAGTTAAAAGCTTTTAGAATCGAAATACATTTTAAATATACTGTCTATTTTAAATGTAACCAAGATCAATCAGCTTTTAACACTGCATTTAATAAAAATATTTTAAATGTATGGATGTAACAGTAAACTTTATATAACAGTTATTAGAAAACATGCATCAACTCTAAATACTTTAAAAATCTATGTATGAGCTCTAAAAGCTTTCAAACATATCTTTATATTTTGAGGTTTTAACAGGTTTTTCAATTTTTATTTTGATGTTTTCAAACTATAAAATCTTTGAACATGTATTTTAAATGTAAAAGGTAAATTCTGAGAGCTCTCACTTCTAAATAAATAATATGTTAATATGTTGCTATCAAAGATATGAAACCTTAACCCTGAAAGGTTTGAAACATGTATTTAAAAGTTTGGAAGAACTGAAAACTTTTAAAGCCCTGCTCAAGCTACCACCTTATGGTGGAGGGGTCTGTGTTTTAAAAGTTGTTTTAAATATATTTTAAAGTTAGAAGCATTGCAACCATTCAAAGCTGTTTTCTTTGTGTTTTAATGGAGAAGCACTAAAAGCTTTTAAAGCTGTTTACCCTATTTCAAATTTTAGGAGCACTTAAAGCTTTTACAGCTGTTTAACATGTATTTTAAAGTTTAATGGCACTGAAGGCTTTTAAAGTTGTTTAAAATGTGTTTTAAGGTTTAGAAGCACTAAAGCTTTTATAGCAGTTTAACATATTTTGAAATTTAGAAGCACTGAAAGCTTTTTAAGCTGTGAAACCTGTATTTTAAATTTATTTCAGGACGTTTCCCATGTGGAGGGCTGCTACCCTCTACAGGATAGGGGTTAAGGTTAAAACCACTGTCCAGGACCTATTTAGAAACCCCTTTTCAGACCATTTGGAGTCGATAGGTACAAAAAAAATTAGGAAAAATATCAAAAACTTTCAACTCACTGCGTTCAGAAATGGGAGGTTGATAGTGGACAACACAAAGCTTATGGCCATTGGGAAAAATGACCTGAGCACAGAAACAGATGGAGGTTGATTTTAATGACATTTATTGTCTTTTAAAAAAAAAAAGATTGGAAAGGTTTGCATGTGACTGACCTGAACAGAAGCATGAAACCATATGCCTCCACCAAGATGCCGATAATTGGCCAGCGGAAGAGCACCAAGGCCACGCCCCCCAGGAAGAAGAAAGAGCCTCTGAATTTATGTCTCTGGAAGAAGAAATGAGCTGTCCTCATGATGCCAACAATCAGCATCAACCCGCTCAAAAACAAGATCTATAGAGAAACAAAAACCTGACTGTCAAAAAACTGCAAATAGTTTGAAAATAAAAATTAAAATAGATTTTCGAGTTCCAGATGTACACCAACTTCAGTTTCAGATTTACCCTAATGCAATTTCAGATTTAAACTTATGGCAAACTGTTTGAATTCAGATTTGCTCCACAGATGATTTAAAAAACAAATTCACTGTGCAGACGATTTAAAAGTCAAACTAAGTTTTTCGATATTTGAACATTCTGAATGTTTAATCATCCATTTAATCATTACTGTGTGGGAGTTCAAATTAAAGGGATATTCTGGCGTAAAATTGATTTAGGGTCAAACACACCATAACACCAAGTTAGAAACTTCTTCGAGAGATAAATGTTGCCAACCATTTGCTTCTCTAGTTTTACCAACTTTAGTAACAAACGCAGGATAGTGATACGCAGCGGTCTGAGAATTCAATTTTTTTGATATGTTGTTGTTGTTGTTGTTGTTGTTGTATTCCTGTCCCCCTTAAAGGGATATTGATTTAGGGTCAAACACACCATAACACCGAGTTAGACACCCCTTCGAGAGATGAATGTTGCAGACATCTTGCTGCTCTAGTTTTACCAACTTTAATAACAAACACAGGATAGTGATAAACAGCAGTCTGAGGAACCATAAACAAACCTGAACCAAAATGCCACTCTGTAGCCACAAATAATGAACAGAACAGGACCTAACTTCATAAACAGTACAAATAGGGTCCTAGCCACAGCACAAGCTACAAACATCTTTTTAACTTTGCCTTATTACTTTAGCAAAGAGACTAAACACAACAAACCCACTCTCCTCCAGCAGCCACTTGTTTGTAGCGAGACCTCAGGCCAGTCCATTATGGACTGCTGCGGGGTGACGCAAATTAAGGAAGAACATTTATGGTCATTACTTTATCATTTCCTTGAAGTAATAATCACCATATTAATCATTTCGCACTGCAGACGCAGTAGTTCTCCTGCCTTAGGGTCTCTGTCTGATTGCATTTCCATAAAGAAATGATCATAAATGTTCTTCCTTTAGCTGCGTCACCCGAGGTCTCACTACAAACAAGCGGCTGCTGGAGGAAAGTGGGTAAGTTGTGTTTAGTCTCTTTGCTTAAGAAATAAGGCAAAGTTAAAAAGATGTTTGTAGCTTGTGCTGTGGCTAGGACCCTATTTGTACTGTTTATGAAGTTAGGTGCTGTTCTGTTAATTATTTGTGGCTACAGAGTGGCATTTTGGTTCAGGTTTGTTTATGGTTCCTCAGACTGCTGTTTATCACTATCCTGTGTTTGTTATTAAAGTTGGTAAAACTAGAGCAGCAAGATGTCTGCAACATTCATCTCTCGAAGGGGTGTCTAACTCGGTGTTATGGTGTGTTTGACCCTAAATCAATATCCCTTTAGGGGGGACAGGAATACAACAACAACAACAACAACAACATATCAAAAAAATGGAAAAAGATGTAAAGAGGTAAAGGTAAAGTTGGGTTGAACGTAAAAGAGTAGAGCTCTGTGTTTTTGTTTTCAGGTCTGTGCCCAGGACTTCAGAGGGAGAAGGGTCTTTATGAAGGATCTAAAAGAGCCAGATTGTGAGAAGATGGTGATGGTAATAATAACTAGCGCCCCATGGGGCACCAATGGGCCTGAGCTGTGTTGCACCACCACCTCTGTGGATCACCTCCCCAGCAGACCACCGCCCTGTTACACTATCTGTCATCCTCCGCACAATGCTCTCCATGGCAGCCAGGACGGTGATGATGGCTGGTGCTTATGCCTGCCTTTGAGTGATGTTGCTCATTTATGGTGTAAAAATATGAACAGACAAAGTGGAAAGGGTGCCATGGCCACGCCCTTAGACCTACACACATCTCTCCTTAAGGTCTCTCCTTAAGACTGGATGAGAAATAACATCAGAAGTGTAAATGGTTTGCTTTTGAAGCAGCTATTTGCAGGCGTTTGGAGAAAGCCCTACTTGTCTATGAGGGGGCACTGTTGCCAAACTAAGCCTCATCGCGAAAAGTTGTACATCTGTCCGAAAGTAGACTATTGTGGGTACCTGTGGCTGCAGTTTCAGCTTTCTATTCATAAATCTCAAGAAGGAGTTTTGGAAACACCTAAAAAAACACCTATATGTAAGGGCACTGTAAAAAACATGAATTTTAACAAGGCCCGACCCACCTGCCAAATTTTCATGAGTTTTGAGTCCATCTAGGGGGCTTTTGAGTTGAAAAACTTTTAATCATAGTAATAGTAAATAATAACTGGAATTTCAGTAGGGCTCTTGCCTGCTGCTTGCTAGGGCCCTGATAAAAATATCATAGTATAGTATGATATAATATGATAATAGGGTCAGATGATATATAGAATGTCAAAAACATGAGAATAATATGCTAAGAATATCATATGATAGTTAAAAAAAAAGTCCTAGTATAGTTTGATAAAAATGCATAGTAAACACAATATAGTATTATAAGATTTCACAATATAGTATCATAGCATTGTGTGATTAAAATACGTTGTAGTATAAAATAAAATCATAAAAATATAGTAAAGTATGTTAAAATGTCATAGCATAGAATGATTAAAATTTCATAGTATAGTATGATAAAAATGTCATAGCTAAGTATTTTTTTTAAAATTGTAGTTAAGTATGATAAAAATATCACAGTTTAGTACAATAAAATATCATAGTATAATATGATAAAAAATTAAGTATGATAAAAATATCAGTATATTTTGATTAAAACCTCAGTATAGTTTGATAAAATCATCATAGTGTAGTACTATAAAAATGTCATAGTATAGTATGACAAAAATGTCATAGTAAATTATGCAAAAAAATCATAGTTAAGTATTTTAAAATGTCATAGTATAGTATGTTAAAAAATATTATAGTATGGCCTGTTTAAAAAAACCTCAAACTTAATTACGATAAAATTGAAGTATTGTTAAAGAATGTCATAGTATAGTGTAGTATCTAGACAACCCTGTAGGTGAAACTCACACATCCCTGAAAGGAATGTGTTAGTCTATATTATTCTGGGTCCTTGTCCCAGGACACAGAATAATATAAATCTTTCAAGACTTGACTACACTTTCAGGTTAACCAACTGACATGACCGGAGGCTGTCCGAAACCTCTGGCCCTTACAATTGGTCAATCTGGAGAACAGAGACAGAGTTTTTATGACCTTTCAAACCGACTCCATCGATGACCATGTAAATAAACATTACTGCCTCAACCCAGGTCTCCCTTTGAGATTTACTGTCATAAAGTGCATGACCACAAAGGAACAAAGGAAAGGTCAGCGGAGCAGAACACTGACCTCCAGACCTCGGTCGTAAAACCTTGCTTGGCCATTTTCTGATAAAAACTGCCTTTCTTTGGAGAAAGAATACAAATGACTGATAATGACATCTTATACATTCAGCAATGTACTAATCCGTCTAATCATGAAGTTGGTGTTAAAATGAGATGTGTCCCTTTTTTCTAGGTGCTCCAAAGGCAAAGTTATCACTCTGACAGAATAAATCCTTTATTTTTTAGTTTGTTTAGACCAACAGCTTTTTAGAGTGTTTCATGAACTTTTAAGAATTAAATTTATTGACTATGAATCATAACTTTACTCTAAGTAACAGAAATAGTTGAGAAATGTTTGGTATATATTTCAATCATTTAACCATTAGGTGGTTATAATGTCATTGAATGGTCTGAATGTTAGCTTATAGAATCCATTATTTATCATGATGAAATCTATTCACATGTATTTACTCTTTTGTTGTTCACAGTTTCTCTGTGTTACTATCTGTTTCATTTCAGAGTAATTTAGCATGTTCAATGTGACACTCAAAACATAATGAAAATGTTTGATGCGATTCTACATTTCTTCATATGTGTTTTGTATCAAATCATTTATTATGAACCAAGCGTTCAATAACATTTATCATAGTGAGTGAGTATTAGATCTGACTCATTTACCAGCCATAAGTTAGATCAAATAATCAGAGATCCTTTAGGTCTCCTCACCAGGAGCTGCCCTTGGAGACCAGCGACCCCTACTCTCTCTCTTCACACACAGACCCCCAGAGACACTCCCAGTTTGAAGGAGATAAAATCAGTAAAGTTGAGGTGCTCACTCTCTTGTTTTCTGGGTCTTCTGCTCATGCTCTTCTGTGTTCTACTCTTGTCTTGCCCTTTTGTTTCCGCTTAGCTCACTCTTAGCTCTTAGTCTTGCTACTTAGTCTTACTTTTTCTTAGTCTGCTAAGTTTTCCACCACATGTTCATTCACGTTTTGATTTTTCTTTAACATCGTCTTAGTTCAAGTTTTTGTGCACATAGCAACCCAAGATTAAGCCTTTAACTTATTTTTTTCTTTAATTTCATAAAGCCATTTTTTAAATAGTTCCGACTGGCCATCGAGCCTCTTTTTAGTTATCTGCGTGATTTCAAAGTCACCTCTGAACGCCATCCAGCAGGCCCAAAGTCATCCTCTGAGCCAAAGTTTTGTGAGACCAAAGGAGCATCTTTAAGAATACATTAGGCATTGGTATTTGCATTTGAGCCTGTGTGCTGTGACTCCTGGCCCATCTTTTGGCTGACTTCGTTCATTTGCTGAGCTGAACCTACCAACCTCGGGTAGCGCGGAACTTCAGAACCTGCTCCATCTTCTCCAAGGACCAGTCTCACTTAAGTATGCAAACCTCCAGAGCTCCAAACAGGGCTGATGCTGTCTCATGTGTTCATGATTGACATAATCTTTTTTTTTTTTTTTGAGTAATCCTAAATTCATCTAAATACACCAGTTAATGTAGGTTAATATATTGGAGCATATTAAATCACTATCATTTACTTCAGCAATCCTAGCCTGACTCAGAATCCTTTATTCATCTATTATTATTCATCCTCATTATCTTATCCTCATTTATTGCATGTATATTGTACCATCAATTATCCTGTAATAAGCAGATCATTTCTTTTTCTAAGTTCTTGTCTGTAAGTGTTCTTCTAGAAGTGGAGTCCCTGAAATGAGAATTTCAGCTTGAGATATGAGATTGATTGATTAATTTAAGATTGACAATGTGTGCCCCTTGCAATGAGTGCATAAATGTCATAATTTAAGATTATTAATCTTTGACATTTATTACAATTCAAATCGATGCAATAGTCTGATAAACTGGATGTTATGCAGACTGATGCTCAGCCCTATCCTCCCCATTCCTCCTCCTCCGGTGAGCTTTGTTTCTGGATCAGAACTCTCCAAGGCCGTCTCCTGTTATCAGACGGCTGGGACATTTGTGAGGGACTGAGAGAGAGACAATGCCACGGGCTCGCACATACATATACATGAAGAATAATCACACACACACCCTCCAACGCAACACCTTCTTGGACCCCATCCCCCCTCCTTCCCTGTTGTGGTGCAGGTACTGTGGGTTGATGCGCGCCAATGGCTGCGCTCATCCCCAGAGTCTGAGCTACAACACCCTCCCTTCCAGACACCAGCCCCTCTCCCACATGTGCAAGTTCTTGTGTGCTTCTGTTGTAAGGTCTTATGTTGCCAATGTGCCAAGGTTTTTTTTACTGATCCCACACTCTGCCCCCCCTAAGGAGTGCAGAGTTTGGAGTTGCCCTTTTTTTCTCCCTCTTCTTCCCTCTTGTCCTCCTTTTCTCCCATCTAGGAAAACAGAGCGTCTCCCCCTGGCGATTTGTCAGTTCTTCCCACTCCTGCCCACCTGTATGTGACTGTCTTTAATGTTTTCTTGGAAGGGTCGAACTGGAAGCAAATTTCCTTGCTCTGTACTCTTGATATGTGCAATGACAATTCAATCAATTCAATTCAATTCAATCTGTAATCTGTAAAATTAAATATCATAATACGATAAAGATGTCTAAGTATAAATCATTAAAAATGTCATAGTGTAGTATGATAAAATTAAAATATAATTGTATAAGAAGAGGCAAAGGATAGTTTGATAAAAACATGGTAAAGTAAAATCAAAAATGTTATAGTGAAGTATGATGAAAATATCTTATGACATTGATATGATATAAATATCACAGTATGATTAAAATATCATATTATAGTATAAAAAAATCCTATTTAAGAATGATAAATATGTCATTGTATAGCATGTAAAATTTTCATATTTAAGTATGATAACAATGTCATACCATAAAGGTATGGTGGAAATAAAGTATGAGAAATATCAAAGTATAATATGATAAAAACTTTCATAGTAAAAGTATGTAAAAAAAAAAAATCACAGTATATCATAGAAGTACGATAAAAATGTCATATAGTATAATAAATAATGCAGTAAAACAGTATGTTAAAAATATCCTAGTATTGTGTAATAAAAATGTCATAGTATTGTATGATAAAATGTAGTAGTATAGTATGATAAAAAATTTCATAGTAGAGTATGCAAAAAATGTCAGAATAGAATGTAAAAAAAATCATTAAACAGTAGAATTAAATTATCATATAGTTTGAAAGAAATGTAATAGTAAAGAATGTTTTAAAATATCATAGTTTAGTTTGATAAAAATATTTAAATGTAATAAAATAAAAATGTATCATAGTGTGATTAAAAAGTCAAAGTACAATATGTTAAAAATATCATGGTGTAGTATGATTAAATGTCATAGTATGGTATGATAAAAAATGTCATAGTATAGGATGATAAAAAATGTCATAATAGAGTATGTAATAAAATCTCATATAATTGTATTATGAAAATGTCTTGGTATAGCATGATCCAAATGCCATAGAATAGCAGGATAGAATAGCAGGACAGTCACAGTAAAGTATGATAAAAAAAATTTCATAAGATAGTTTGTTCTAAAAATCCTAGTATAGTATAGTAGAAATCTAACAGTAAAGTGTGAAAAAAATACTGTATGAGGAATATTAGTATAGACTGATAAACTGCCATTGTGTAGTATGATAAAAAAAAATTCATAGTATAGTATTTGAAAAAAATCAAAGTATAGTAAAATAAAACGATCAATGAAGTATGCTAAAAATATCATTGTAAAGTATGTTTAAAAATGCCATGGTATTGTATGATAAAAATGTTATAGTATAGTTTGATAAAAATCTTATAGTAAAGTATGTTAAAAATGTCAGTAGGGTTTGTTAACATAATGTTACAGTACAGTATGTTAAAAAATGTCATAGTAAAGTATGTTTAAAAAATGTCAAAGTATAGTACAATAAAAATGTCGTAGTATACTACGATAAGAATGTCATGATATAGAATGTTAAAAAAATGTCAAAGTATTGTTCAATAAAATTTCACATTATAGTCTGATAAAATGTCATAGTAAAGTACGTCAAAAATCAAGTATGACAAATATCTTTGCTTTGTTTGATTGAATTTCCATAGTATAGGACAATTAAGGTGTCATAGTAGTATAAAAAATGTCATAGTATAGTGCAATAAAAATGTCATAGTATAGTATAGCAAAAAATTATAGTACAGTATGTTAAAAAAAGTAATTGTCTAGTACAATAAAAATGTCATAGTATAGTATCTAAAAAAAGGTTTTGTATATGTTAAAGAAAATGTCATAATACAGTATAAAATAAATTTCATAGTATAGTATGTTGAAAAATGTCATAATATAGAATGTTAACAAATGTCATAGAATAATATGTTACCAAATGTCACTATATAGTATGATAAAAATGGCATAGTTTTGTACAATAAAATATTACATTACAGTGCGATAAAAATTTCAGGAAATTCTCAACTCAACTCAACTTGGATAAAATAAAAGCAGATATTAAATAGTAAAATATAGTTTCAATGTTTTTAAAAACTAATTTAAAAACAATAGAAACAAATAACTAAAAACAAACCATAAAACACTTAAACAGGAGCCGAGTCTCATGCAGGGTTGAAAGCAAATGAATAAAAATGGGTTTTAAGATGAGTTTTAAAAATGGATAGTGAGGGGGCTTGTCTGATTTGGAGGAGTAGCTCGTTCCATAATTTTGGGGCCGCAACAGAAAAAGATCTATCCCCTCTGAGCTTCAGTTTGGACCTCAGTACCTCCAGGAGCAGCTGATCAGCTGACCTGAGGCACCGAGTAGGGGTGAAGGGGTGGAGAAGCTCAGAGAGGTAAGATGGAGACAGACAATTTAAAGATTTAAAAACAAATAAAAGAATCTTAAAATGAACTCTAAAGTGCACAAGTAACAAGTGGAGGGAGGCCAAAATGGGAGTAATGTGCTCCCCCTTACGTACGTGCGTTTTGTACTAACTGGAGGCGTGACAGGGAGGACTCGCTTACTCCAAAGTAAAGTGCGTTACAGTAATCCAGCCGAAATGTAACAAAGGCATGGATTACTGTTTCAAAGTGCTTATGTGCAAGAAAAGGCTTTGCCATAGACCGCTGCCTAATATAATAAAAGCTGGATTTCACTACTGAGCTAATTTGCCTGTCGAATTTAAAATGACTGTCTGTCTTAAAACCCAAATTTGAGACGGTTGGCTTTAAATAGTTTGCCAAAATACCCAAGCCTACAGGAGGGGATTCAAATGGGCCACTGGGACCAAAGACCATCACTTCTGTTTTTCTCTCATTGAAATTTAAAAGGTTCAAAGCCATCCAGGCTTTGATGTCTTCAAGACATGCCAGAAGTGGTGCAAGGGTGAAAGCATTTTTCCTATTAAGTGGCACATTTATCTGACTGTCGTCAGCATAACAATGAAAAGAGATGCCATGCTTTCTTCGGATGGAGCCAAGGGGCAGCAAATACAAGGAAAAGAGCAGGGGCCCTAAAATGGACCCTAGTGGAACACCATACGGCAGTGGAGCAGAGCTGGACACTGAATCTTCAAGGCTCACACTCATTGTTCTGTCAGCCAAATATGACTTAAATCACTCCAGTGCAGTACCACGGATACCTGTAAGGTGTCGTAGCTGAGCCACCAGAGTATTGTGGTCCATTGTATCAAAAGCTGCAGTTGGAGGGCTCACAAGAATCCTTGGCTGTGTCTCATTTCAGAGACCGCATGGGGCTAAGTGCACTTCTGCACTGTCGAACTGAAGCACAGTTCCTTCAAATGCTTCATGGCCCTAATTTTAACAAGTCTCCTCTGAAATTACAGGAAACTTTAAAACTTTATTCTCATAAATTAATGACTTTATTCTCGTAAATTCACGACTTAAATCTCGAAGTCTTTAAAGTCTTAAATCTCAATATGGCCCATTTGAGCATTTGAAGGAACTGTGCTTCAGTATAGGTTTCACAAACAAGGAGATACTTCATCCTCTGGCACATCAGCATCACATTGTCATAAGTATAAAGACTTAAAAAAAGAATATATGAGAAATACGTCTTTACCACGGGGAACAAAACTGGTGTACTTGAGGGAAATCGCTGCTTTTGTGGAGGCAGAAATGAATATGCTGAGGATATATCCGTTTATGCAGCTGTAAATATCCGTGAATGACATTGAGCTTTAGTTTATGATATGACCCATATGCCATAATAAGGTGTTGGTGTCTCTGCAGGTGTAGGCTACCGCCGGTGTCAGAGATGTGGTGCTCGTCGGAGCTCGACTCCCTCTGGATCACAAATGTTGATCATCATCAGTTTGATTGTTTCTTCAGAAACCACAAAATCTCTCTGAATGACCCGCTGATACATCCACAGATAACCCTGCAGATGACCAGCTTCAGTCATTTCCACCTCCACAAAAGCAGCATTATGACTTTATATACTTAATGGGCTCTATTTTCGTGCGCGCCGGTGAGGTGGCGGAGGGCGGCGGACCCCGCGCAGTTGTATTTTCGTCTGGCGGAGGTGTCGACAGAATCAGCAGGCGCAGTGACATTTTCGTGCTCGCCAACGGCGTGTAAAGTGCGCTGAAAGCTTGCCGATTCAAACCTGGTCAGCTTTCAGCGCAAGGCGGAACGCAGCTGGTCTAGTAGTATTTTGGTAGACCGGCGGCGTATCGACATACGTCACTGATGCCTCACCGGCAGGTTTCCACAGTGTCAGGCACATTTCAGTGCAATAAATAATCATCATCAACTATTAATCTGAGTCAGCACATATATTTAGATCTATATCGATATATTCTGATCTATATCTGATCTGATGAGCGCGTTTGGCACGCGTTTGGACACACAACCTGACCGAATCAACACAGCTGAAACCGCATCAAATTAAATTAAATATCTAGTAAATAAACACACATGATGAAGTTAACTAGATATGTAATTCGTCTCCCTCCTTTTAGCTGAGCAGATAAGGAAATAATCGTTCACTTTGTTATACAAGCATGAAATTTGGTACATATACTCTTCAAACCCCACTCTTCAAAAATAACGTTAGCCACGCAAAATTCCAAGATGGCGGCCCCAAAATCTAAGATGTCCGCCCCAAAATGTGGTTTTTCCTTTACAACTCAAAATGCCTTGATTTTAAGCCCCATACATATATTGAAGTTAAATATAAAGTTGTGTATTGCGGACATTTTGGTACCTAGTACATCTCTGTATCCATTACGGTTCTTGAGATACAGCATATAGATACTTGTACAGAATTGGGAGAGTGAGACATTTGTAACACCGATTGTTGTTACCTGCATATGGTTATATGAAAATATCATTTCCATTATCTGTTATTTTCATTAGGGTTATAACATGAAATTCGAAAACTATGATGGTGTCCAAGATGGCTGCCATTGCCTTGAAGTAATCATGAATTCAGCAAAGATGAATCATGAATTCAGAAGGATGAAACTTGTCATAAAAAGTTAAAAATTTGGCATTTTGTGACAATTTTCTGATTTTTGTTATGGTGTATAAGGTTTTAAAAAACCACCGCAAACGATATGGGTGCGCCCCCTAGTGGTTTGTTTGCCCAGAATCCAAAATTCAACACCTCAGTTTGAAACCCAAAGTAAGCGATAGAAGAGATTTTTCAATGGATTCTGTTACTATTGGGTATGGGAGGTGGGAGGGGGACTACTCTCTGGCTACTTGCGGGGGAGGCCATGTGGAGGGTTTCAACCATATACTAAACTATCTAACATTAAATACCATGCAAACTGACCACTAGGGGATGCACTCAACTCGTTTGCGGTGTTTTTTAAAAACCTTATACCCATACCTAACACTTTACTAAAATTCGGAAGTTTACAAAATTCCCTAATTTTTCTTGATCCCATCTAAGCTAAGTACAGAATTTAGACATCGATAAAAGCAGGTATTTTAGTACCATGTGCCTCTATTACAGTTTGTAAGATACAGCATACTTACTGTGAGTTACACCTCACAGTTTCAACTGCACAGAGCTGTACACATGAGACCCAATTTGTAGCACTTGCACCTGCCACAACAGCCAGATTTACAGCCACATTTGGTGAGCTGTTCGCATGTCTTGGCTATTGGAGAGTTGACTGTCCAGAAGACCTGCCATTCCTCACCAACCTTTTGACATCCCCAGTCTGCAGGGTCCTCTGCATCTGGCTGACACTGGGTTGCCTGGGCCCACACACAACCAGTAGAGCTACTCTGGTTGGTGGAATAGACCCATAGGGCCTCTGCTTTCTGGCAAACAAGTCAAGCCTGGCCTCATCCACAGTAGCAGCTGCGCTGGATCTGTCATACATGAGAATGACAAACTTCTCAAGCACCTCTGTGTCACAGTCCTCCACTGTGGGAGGGTAAATACCCAGTTTGGCGAATCCAGGCAAGGATTCTGGACATACGTCCCATGTAAGCCAAGCCATTTTTTGCCTTTGTTGCGGAAGGCAGACACAGTGTCACAACCTGTAAAGGCATGGAAGAAGAGCATGCCTTTGACCTTCTCCTGGCCAACATGCTGAAATATGTCATGCACACTGATCCAGCGCAGAGTCTGACCATGCCCAAATGCAAGCCACATATGCTGTAGGCCAGCCTCTTGTAGACCGCTGAATACACTTATTGCTAAGATCAGAACATCTGTGTCATTTGCCTTGATCATGATGGATTGGCTACCAGTTTCATGTTTGGCGTGCACAAAGATGCGGCTGTCCGCTTCCTCGTGAGAGCATTTATCCAGTCCGTCAAGACCAGTTGCATGAGTGCTGAGGACAGCAGGTTCCTTTGTGACGACATTTGTGCAACCTTGTCGGCAAGGGTGGAACAACTCTGTTTTGTTGTCATTGTGCCTCAGGAAGTTATGCCAGTTAGATAGCATGGTGTTCTTATTTATTACCTTGTGTCTCTCCCCCTCGCCACGTTTGGACCTGGTCTCAGCTTTAAGGCTTGATGGGTTTTTCACATCAAAGACTAGATGTGTCATTGTGTACTTGCTGGAGTACATGTAGATCACAGGTAGGAATTCGAGAACTGCATAGTCCTCAAAAGTCTTGGATCTTTTGCAACAGGGAATGCAACAGGGAAGGACTGGTTCTCATGCTGAAAGAACTCCTGGAGGTCATGCTGAGTTACACAGCAGTGATATCACCAGTGTGCCCTGGTTGTGTGCCGATATTCACTCTATTACATCTGCAAGCTTGTACTGTATAAACATCTAAATTCTGTACTGCAATGGCGACATTGGATGCATAGACCAAAAATATGTGCATGCCAAAAGTAAATGTTTCATAGTCACTAAGATCGGATTACTTCAAGGCAATGGCAGCCATCTTGGACACTATCTTGTTTTTCAAATTTAATGTTATAAGCCTCATGAAAATAATAGATAATGGAAATGATATTTTCATATAACCCATATGCACGTAACAACAATCGGTGTTACAAATTTCTCACTCTGTCAATTCTGTACAAGTATCTATATGCTGTATCTCAAGAACCGTAATGGATACAGAGATGTACTAGGTACCAAAATGTCTGCAATACACAACTTTATATTCAATTTCAATATATGTATGGGGCTTAAAATCAAGGCATTTTGAGTTATAAAGGAAAAACCACATTTTTGAGGCGGACATCTTGGATTTTGGGGCCGCCATCTTGGAATTTTGCATGGCTAACGTTATTTTTGAAAAGAGTGGGGTTTGACGAGTATGTGTACCAAATTTCATGCTTGTATAACAAAGTGAACGATTCGGGCTATATTATGCATTTGTCTGCTCTACTATTTTCTTTCTTCCTCTTCCTCTTATTTCTCGCACAGCTCAACCTGGACACGTCTCCGTGTCCTCTGTCCGTCTTGCTGCTGCTGCAGCTGAACAGATGATTTGTTTCAGTGCTCAGATGCGTTATCTACTTTAAGCCGACATACGGATATTATAATATTCAGTTTTGTGAGCCAAATTTATTTTATATGCCAACATCTATGAAAGAAAGAGCCAGGCCACAGAGTGCGATGCGTCATTTACGCACAGATGGTTCCGATTTTAATGCCATTTTTGGAGTTTATGTTGTGATCTGTGTGCACAACCCACCTTTGTCACGTGAGGTTTGAATATGAGCAACTTTATGTGAGTGTCTTTATTTGTGGAAAAGGGTGTTTGTCTTACCAGTGGGTCCAACATTACGCACACTAAATCCATCTGTGCTCATATGAGAGAGTGTGGAGGACACTTGTTGAGGAGCTGCCCTCTGTCGCCATCTTGTGGCATTACTGTCTTAAGACATCTCTTGATCTCTTTGACTACTTCATGAAAATAGTAATACGCCTCGCCTGTGGCGGATTTAAAGGCAAGGAGAGGAGCCTATGTGATTGGTGAAAACAGGTCTCGGCTGTGTTAAACCCACTACACGCCCTTTCCCCTCCCCGTCTACGACTTATGGTGCTGGGAGGAGCTGAGTTAGGGAGGGGGGATACTTACGCCGGGCTGCGCGGCTCACCAAAATACCAAAATGTGCTTGGGAACGCCTTGTCAGCGCGGCGGATCTGACTGACGCTGCGCTTGCGGCACGTCTCCGGCAAGGCACCAAAATAGAGCCCTATGACTTTATTCTCCTAAATTTACAACTTTAATCTCTAAATCTTAAAAGAAAAAAAAAACTCAATGTTGTCCTGATACTCTGCTGTAGTTTTGTCAGCTTTCTTATTTCTAATGTTTTTGATAGTTGTAGCAGAGCGGATCAGTTGTCTCGAAATACTATAATGTTTGGTTAACAGATTTTAGTGAGTTAAGAGATCATGCTCTCATACAGCCTGAGCTGACTGTCTGCTGTTTTTGGATTTCTTGTATTTTCTTTAAAGACACGCTGTGTCTCCAAGCGAGTCCAGCGTCTCACCTGAAATGTGAAGCTGTGCAGCGGCACGCAAAGAATTCTGGGATACCGATGGCACGAAAGCGTGCATACATGCACGCTTGAAAAAGGGGCGGGGGTAGTGTGGTTTTGAGACCGAATTTGAAGCGCGCTTAGTATTTTGTGCCAAACGGGACACCGTTCGTGCCGCGTGATGACCTCACGCACGCTTCAGATGAGCCGTTTGACGGTTGCAGTCTCTGAAATAGGACACAGGAAGGGTACATAACGGCCCAAAATAGCACATAACAGCACAAAACCGCAGTGCACTCAGCCGTTAAGAGCGCTTATCCCGATGCGGTCTCTGAAATGAGACACAGCCCTTGTGACTCGATCCTTCATCGATTGCTCTGTGACTCCTCCTCCTGACTGGTGAGTGTTCCTTGCTTTTGAACTGTGTGTGTGGTGTTTTGCTCCTCCTGATAGCGTTCTTGTTGTTTGGTTTATTTTCTTTCTTTAATCTATCAGTACATCTGTTTGTTTAAAAGTCTGTGAATATATCTGATAGTTTTCACCAAGCACCGTCTCTATCTCCATTCCGGGTGATTTCTCTGGTGGTTTACTTTAATAGCTCTTAGCTCAGCCCATAGCGGGCAACATCAAAGGTAGTTTGAAACTACTGGCAAAGGCTAAACGTAAATTCTGTAAGATTGTAATACATGTTGGCGTTAATGACTCCTGGTGCCGCCAGTCGGACGTCACTAAATTGAATGTGGAATTGGTGTGTAAATGAGCCAAAACGATGTCAGACACAGTAGTTTGCTCTGGTCCCCTGCCTGATCAGACAACTGATGAGATGTGTAGCCGTATCTCGTCATTCAACTGCTGGCTGTCGAGGTGGTGCCCGCAAAACAGCGTGGGCTTCATTGATAATTAGAAGTCGTTTTGGGGCAAGTCTGGTCTGATTAGTTGGGACGGCATTCATCCCACTCAAGATGGAGTGGCCCATTTATCCAGAAATCTGGCCGTTTTTATTAGTCACTGACAATTCAGAGCCGAGATCAGGGAGAAGAGCTGCAGTCCTGCATGCTCCTCTGTGCCTCCTTTAGAGCAGCTTCCCAGCCACTATCACTTTTATATAGAGACTCGGGAACAGAGCTGCAGTCCTACACGTTCCTTTGCACTTTTGTCAGAGCAGCCTCCTTGCTACATCACTTTAATATAGAGACTGTGTCTGTCCCTCAACTCTTTAATTTTAACTGATTAACAAATCCAGCATCCAGCCTAAAAGACCATGAGTACTAGTATTTGCTATAGTTTATCGCCTTCCCAGCCCATACTTGGAGTTTTTGTCATTGTTTCTATCTGATCTAGTCCTTAGTGCAGACAAGGTCATTGTTGTTGGTGACTTTAATATTCATGCGGATGTGGAAAATGATAGCCTAAGCATTGCTTTCTTGTCCTTGTTAGACTCAATTGGGTTTACACAGTGTGTACATGGACCTACACACTGTTTTAACCACACCCTCAATCTTGTCCTGGCTTATGGCCTTGAAGCTGAAACCTTGTCAGTCAGCTCATTAAATCCTCTTTTATCGGATCACTTCCTTGTAACTTTTGAATTTGTGCTATCAGGCTATTCTCCTCATAACAAAACCGTGCTAACCAGAAGGTTGTCTGAACAACTTTACTGATAGCTCATACTTGAACGTTAGTTCCCTGCAACTTGATCAGTTCGTCGATGAAACTTCAGACACACTTCAATTCATTCTTGACTTAGTTGCTGCTCTTCGACAGTAGCTGGCTCTCTGGTGTAATGCTGAAACTCGTGAGCTTAAACTGTTATTAAGAAGACGGGAAAGGATTTGGCGCTCCTCCAAAACAGCTGAAGCTCGTATTCTCTGGCGGGACTGTCTTGACAAATATAAGAAGGCCTTGCGATGTGCTCGGGCAACTTACTACTCGTCCCTTATTGAAGAAAAGAATAACCCCAGGTATCTCTTCAGCACTGTAGCCAGGCTGACAGACTGTCAGAGCACCATTGAGCCGTGTATCCCTTTAGCCCTCAGCAGCGATGACTTCTTGAGCTTCTTTAATAAAAAATCTTGAAAATAAGAGGCAAAATTAATAATCTCTTGCCTTCAACAGGTGTCTTTTGCTTAGATAACCCTGAAATTGTGGGAGCCCCTAAGGCCTCTGGTGCACCTTAGTAACTTTGCACCTATTGACCTCCCTGAGTTAAATTCAGTGGTGTTGGCAGCCAAACCATCAATGTGTCTTTTAGACCCAATTCCATCTAAACTGCTGAAGGAAACTCTTCCTTTAATTAGTACATCCTTGCTTAACTTGATCAATACTTCTTTATTAACAGGTTATCTTCCGCAGACATTATGCACTCTCTCTCCCTCCAACAAGACCTTCAAGACACCATTCTCATCCAAAAAAGACTTTAGCTGAACATGAACAACTTTATCTGAAATGTTTGAAATAAAGGGAAGCTTGGAGATGGGCCTAAAATTGGCCAGCACACCACAATCAAGGCCTGTTTTTTTCAAGTAGAGGCTGCACCACTGCATGTTTAAAACCTAGCGGAACAACACAGTAGACAGACTGCTATTTATGATAGCCAGAACAGACTGACTTATGCAGGGGACAACCTCTTTAAACAGCCCGGGAGGGACAACATTACAGGGAGAACATGCAGGCTTAATATGGCCAACCAGCTCTTCTAAAAATGACAAAGACAGGCTTAAACATATCAAGAACAAGGAACAAGGAAGAGGCACAGAGGGGTCGGATGCAGAACTGGCAGTCACAACTTTTTCAATAAAAAAGGACAGAAAACTATTGCACATTTTCCATAAAGGGAAAACGTCATAGTATTATATGTCAAAAATACATAGTTAAGTAGGATAAAAATATTATAGTATAGTATGATAAAAAAAATATACTATAGTATAATAAAATCTCAAAGTACTGTTTGATAAAATTATTACAATGTAGTTTAATAAAAAATATCATAGCATAGTGTGATAAAAATGTCATAGTATAGTATTTTCAAAAATTATATTATAAATTCAGTTCATTAAGTTCATTTTATAAAATGTCATCATATTGGTTGATAAAAATTGTATGATAACAATGTCACAGTTTAGTTTGTTAAAGGTATTATAGTGTAGTAAAATAAAAATATAGTGTAGTAATAAAAAAATTCTATCATATCGTATGATAAAAATTATTGATAATGAGATGAAGCATTGAAGCTTACTATCCAATTGCTTGACTCATATTCCAAGCTTCATAGTGTTTCATTTGCTCTATTGTGCCATCAAGTGGACAATAAATGTAAAACAGGCAGAGTGATTATCAAAGACCGCCATCCCCGGTGCACTGCTCTCCATAGCAGCCTGAAACTTTGTGATGGTTGGTACTTGTGACTGCCTTAAGTGTTGTAGATCATTTACTGTGAAAAGACATCGGAGTTTCAAAAGATGCCATGGCCACGCTCTTTGACCTAAACAGATGATTTTTTATATGGTCTATCTAACAGACTGGAGGGGAAATAACATCAAAAGGGTAAATGTTTGCTTTGGAGGAGGCCATTTGAAGGTGCTTGAAAAAGCCCTACTTGTCTATGAAGAGGCGCTGTTGCCAGAATTGCCAAAAGTTGTAGATCAGTCTGAAAGTAGATCATTGTGGGTACTTCTGGCTGCAGTTTCAGCTTTCTATTCGTAAATCCCTAAGAGGAGATACTATTTGAAAAGAGTTTTAAACATGGGCCAAAATCTCAAAACAAAAATTTTCAAAACATTAGATGATATTGTTGATATTGTAGATGACAGATTTATGTAATGTAGCAATCAAGACAACCCTGGGTGTGAAACCCACACATTCCTCACAGGAAAGCTTCCTTATCTGGTCCCAGGAAACAGGATATAAATCTTTCCAGACTCGTTTACACTTTCAGGTTAAATAAGTGACCCAACCGGAGGTTGACTAAACCTCTGACTCTTCACGATTGGTCGATTCGGAGAACAGAGACAGAGTTTTTATTACCTTTCAAACTGACTCCATTACTGACCATCTAAATAAACATTAACGTCTCAACCCAGATCTCCCATTTGAGATTTAGCGTCTTAAAGTGTTTGAACATACGGACCCCAGGATAAGGGGGGACACTGACCTCCAGACCTCGGTCGTAAAACCCTGCTCGACCATACACTGATAAAGACTGCATTCCTTTGGTGAAAGAATACAAATGACTGATCATGACATCTTATGCATTCAGCAATGTACTAATCTGTCTAATCATGAAATTTGTGTTAAAATGAGATGTTTCCCGTTTTTCTATGTGCTTCGGAAGCCAAGTTATCTTATCTGACAGAATAAATCCTTATTCTTTAGTTCTTTAGACCAACAGCTTTTCAGACTGTTTCATGAACTTTTAAGAGTTAAATTTATTGACTATGAATCCTAAGTTTACTCTAAGTAACAGAAATAGTTTAGAAATGTTTGGTTTATATTTTAGTTATTTATTTAGTATCTTAACCATTAGGTGGTTATAATGTCACTGAATAATCTGAATGTGAGTATTTAGAATCCATTATTAATCATGATGACGTTCATTCACATGTGTTTACTCTTTTGTTGTTCACAGTTTCTATGTGTTACTATCTGTTTCATTTCAGAGTAATTTAGCATGTTCAATGTGATACTTAAAACATAATGAGAATGTTTGATGTGATCCTACACTTCATTCATATGTGTTTAGTATCAAATTATTTATCATGAAACCAAGCATTCAATGATATTAATCATAGTGAGTGAGTATCAGATCTGACTCTTTTACCAGCCAAAAGAATAAGTTAGATCAAATAATCAGAGACCCGATGACCCCCTCCTCTTTCTCCTCAGACACTCCCAGTGTGAGAAGATAAAACCAGTGGAGTGGGGTTGCACGCTCTCTTATCTCTCTTATGCTCCTCTTATCTCTCTTATGCTTCTGCTCTTCTGCTGACTCTCTTGTCCCCGGCTCTTATGCCCCTTCTCTTCTGCCCACACCCTTCTGTGGTGCGTTTCTTTGTTTTCTCTTAGAACTTTTTCTTAGTCTTCTAAGTTTTACGCCACGTGTTGATTCACGTTGATTTTTCTTTAACATCGTCTTAGTTCAAGTTTTGAAACTTCAACTTTTTGTGCGCATAGCAATTCAAGATTAAGCCTTTGATTGATTTTTCTTTAATTTCGCGAAGCCATTTTTGAAAGTTTTCTCTGCTCTTCGAGCCTCGTTTTTCTGAGTTTTCTGCGTGATTTCAAAGTCACCTCTGAACGCAACCCAGCAGGCCCAGGTCATCCTCTGTGCCAGAGTTTTTGAGTGAGACCAAAGAAGTACCCAAACGAGCATCCACAGGATCCACAGGCGCTGGCTTTGCTTCGGGCCCGAGTGCTGCAACTCCTGGCTCATCCTTCGGCTGACTTCAGTCGTCTTCTGAGCTGAACCGCTCGAACCGCCAGTAGCCCCGGACCTTCGGAACCTGCTCCATCTTCTCCAAGGACCAGTCTCACTTAAGTATGCAAACCTCCAGAGCTCCAGACAGGGCTGATGCTGTCTCACGCGTTCATAACTCAGATATCCACCTATTTCTGGTGATCTTAGATTCCTCCAAATCTACACCCGAGTTTATCTCGACACCAAAGTTAGTGTAGGTTAATATGTTAGCGCATATTCACTCACTATCATTAACTTTAGTGCTCCTAGCCTGACTCAGAATCTTTATTTATTCACCTATTATTATCTATCTTCATTATCTTATCATCATTTATTGCATGTGTGTTGTACCATCATTTATCCTGTAATAAACAGATCATTATTTTTCTAAGTTCCTGTCTGTTAGTGTTCTTCCAGAAGTGGAGTCCCTGAAATTAGAATTTCGACTTAAGATATGAGACTGATTAATTAAGACTGATTAATTAAAACTGACTTGATGTTTGATTTCTGAATTAAACTTTTGTTTTCTTTATTTTCCCACCATTAAGGGTGGGTGGTGCCCCTTTCAACGAGTGCATAAATGTCATAATTTGAGATTATTAATCTTCAGACATTTATTATAAATTCCAATCGCCAAGTATTATTTTGGTGCGGCCTTGTGAGGCTCATTTCAAATCGCTACATATATTTTGGTGCGACCGTATGAGGCTCATTTCAAATCACTACATATATTTTGGTGCCCCGTGTGAGGCGTTTCAAACAAAACTTCTGGATACTAACAGACAACCTAAAACTTAGCCTTCCAAATTGATGAGAGAAACTTATTTTCAGGCTGTTTTAGACTTAATCACAATCAATGCTATGCTTGCTGAAGTTGCTTGACTAAGTTCTGATGTTTTCCTGATCTATGCATAAAACCTTTATGCCCTGTGTTTCACACACTTTTGTACTACATGCCTGTAGTCTGTGTTTGAGCTGGACAGCGTGAAATGTTGTTCTGAGTAGCAGTGAGACTGCTTCTTCTGCTCTGTCTAGACTGTCCAATATTTAAGTGCACGATTGTTGCGTCGCCGTACGCTTGTATTTAAGGCCTTTGGCTGAACCCAGTGTTCGCGATGCTCCGAGCTGTGGTTTCAAGCCCCTGAAGTCTCTGTAGTCTGCTACGAGGTTCTAGTAACTATATGGGATTCAGATTTCCTCCTTTCCCCTGACAGATTAGCTACCTGTCACAGGAAACCACTGTAACAGTGGGAGGTTGTTGTTTGATTGAATTCAGACAAAATTTGTGATCACAAATCGCCACATTTGTGATTTTAAAGTCTGCAGTTGAATCTGCTGTTGAGGGATTTGTCACTTTGATTCTTGTCTCTATATTCGGCTACGAAGTTCTAGTAACTATATGGGATTCAGAACTATATGGGATTCAGATTTCCTCCTTTCCCCTGACAGATTAACCACCTGTCGCAGGAAACCACTGTAACAGTGGGAGGTTGTTGTTTGAATGAATTCAGACAAAATTCGTGACCACAAATCGCCGCATTTGTGATTTTAAAGTCCGCAGTTGAATCTGCTGTTTAAGGATTTGTCACGTCGATTCTTGTTCCTGTAAATGATTCTATTGAACCAATCTGCCTGAGCAGATGGTGTAAAGTTCTATGTTTGAGGGTGCAGACGCATCCTGCGGTGAAATATTAACCCTTTGTTGTCAGTGGAGAGACTGACCATTTGGCCTTAAGCAGATAAGGCCCTTCAAGGAGGCAGAGCCTAAAGGCCCCTTCCTTCAGACTTCCCAACTTCACACAGCCACAAGAGGCTAGTTGGATGACTGTTTCCTCTTTGCTTCTTCTTCTCCACTTGTGTTGAGCTTGTGTAGTTCTCCCAACTCCATACTGCCCCACATGGTTGCTTTTGGTATTGAGCTAACACTGCTATTATCTGCCTGCAGTATCAGCCAGCTGTACTGCCTCTCTGTAGTCAGTGTGTAACACTCTACAGACATAACTCAAGTGATTGACTTGGTTGATGAAGTTTGATGTGCTTATTCTAAATCATTGATCATTGATTTTTGTTATAAGAGCCTACATAATGTATTGATAAAGTAACTCCTTGAATCAATCACCTGATCTGTTGTTACTTATCACACCATTGAGCAGTTTTACTGTTCCCTATAATACATGAATGTATTAACCCTCCTCATAAGATTAATTAATTAATGAACAAATTAATTAATATTTGAAATCTATTTTACCATTTCAGATGAATTGGGTAGTTGAATCTTTGGCTTTATTGCGATTTGTGAATTAACTTCAGAGTTAATTCCTTAAATTGACAATTTCATTGGTTTCAGATTCATCCAACTGCATCAGGCAGTTTATTTAAGCTTTGCTGTTGTCTGCAACACGGAGACAAACTGAACCCTTTATTCAATGGTTCTGTATCTGATGTTAAATTTAATTTAACATCATTTCACTTTTTTTCAATTTTCATTGAAATGAATTTAACTTTATGTTATTTTTCTCTCCATTAGAGATCTACTCAGATAGGCTCTTCCTCTTTATCAAGCACTGATAAATTAAGTCGATTAACCCACTTAATTTGATATTTTGCTTCTTCCTTTCATTTTAAGTCAACTCAAACTCATCAACCAACCACCTGCACCTCTTTACCAAAACCAAACATGCCTAACACAAAAGAGTCCAGCCAGGGAGACCCCCTGAGGGACATACACACAGTGTTAGCAAACTTAACTAGTCAGCTGATACCTCAGTACATGACTAAGATTCAAAAGGCCAAACCCTCCAATCCGGAGGATGAAATGGCTGACCTACTGGAGACAGCCTTAACCACGACACTTCGTGACAAAGAGCTCACTAGATGCATGTCTGTCGTGATGTCTTCTCAGCTTGAGTATAAAGACTACTTGCTGGAATGCGCTTTAGCAAAGATAAAGACACAAAAAGACGAAAACAGCGCTCTGAAAAAGACGCTAGAAGAGACTAAGAAGTCTCTAAGTGTTTTAGAAAAACACAGTGCCAGATGTGAAGCGTCAAAGCTTCCCTCACTGATAAGTCATGAAGAAAATCTTGATCTTAAAGACAAGATGGAAAGACTTAATGAAACCCTTTACAAAAAGGAGAAAGAACTTGATGACGCGAATAAGCAGCTTGCTAAGACCACAGAGGATCTGATACAGTCAGAATCCCTACTAGAGCAAGCAACAGGAGATGTAAAAGCTTTGAAAGCACTGGTCAAAGTGCGTGCTGAAGCTCTTGAAGTTAAGGAGAAGCAAACTTCTACCTTACAGCACCAGCTCCAGATAGCTCAAAGACAGTTAATTCTTTGTCAAGAACGGCAAGAAAAGACAGACAAAGAACTTGAAGATGCTCAAAGAGAGTTACAATGCTCCCTCCAGTCAGGTCGAGCCCAAAGAGAACGCATGGAGCAAACGTTTCTTGAAGAAATGATAGGTGATCAGCCTCCTGAGAGAGCGCCATCACTTCCTTCCAAACCAACTCTTGAGTATCTCTCTCAGCATCATGACAGGACCCTGCTTGACCCTGAGAGGTCATCCTTAAACCAAGAGTCCTACTCTCCTCCTCATGATGGCTTCTTACCATCTCCCTCAGATAGGGATCTTGACAAAATTGCTCGCAACATAGCACGCTTTGAACCTGAGCACCAAGGTGCTATTGACACCTGCACCTACTTGAAAGACATTGACTTTTACCTGAGGAAATTTCCAGGTGCAACCATTGATGACAAAATCTACCTTATTAAGGCAACGTCAAGTCGAGAGGTTAGCAGTTTCCTTGAACGACAGCCTTATCATGTCAGAAATAATTATGACTTGCTCTGCCAAGCATTAATTGAAGAGTTTTCTGACTATTTGACCCAGACAGGCCTCTCTGCTGCTCTGTCTATTAAACAAGGGAGATTAGAATCTCCCCAACAATATTACAACCGCTTACGCGAAGCTTACTTTGGTTTCCGAAATGAACCAGAAATGGAGGAGGACTTGAACTTCAAAACGCTGTTCGTCCAGAACCTCCACCCTACCACCAGTCATCACCTTGGCGTCTTAGCTTGTCCAAACACTTTGACTAGCCGACAGCTTCGTGAACTTGCTGTAAAAGGTTTTGCCAAACAACGACAAACTTTGGCTAAGAAAGCAGAGCCCGTTACTCTCTTGGCTATGGGGACAAAATCACTGCCCATGGAGCTGAACGAAGCTTCAGACTGTGTATTTTCAGGCTCCGATAAGCCTCCAAATGAGTGGTTAACCAGGCCCCCAAAACCTTTTCGACCTCAACAAACTCACAAAGGTCAAAGTTACACACCAAGGCCCAGTTCTGACACAGACCAACGCCAGGTAAACTTTGAGACCAACTGTTGTTATTCAGACTCCCGTCACGGTGGGTTTTATCCCAGACAAAGGAAAAACCATCAACACCGCCAAAGGGGGGTGAATGACCGGCAGAATCAGAGTAAATCACACTCTCGGAAACGACGATCTTATTATCCACCTCAATCGGTTTCATCCACTTTGAAGGTGAATAAACATGACTACTCAGCTAACCACTGAGATTAACTCTGCGGAGCCATGAAGGTGTGAGTCCTGCGAAAGCAGAAGTCACCTAGCCAAAGCTAAATGACTCCAATAAGATATCCAAATGCTGTGGTGATACATTGATGACTGCAATACCAGTTGCTGCTTTCTTTGTTAGCATTTGTCTCTCCTCTGTCAATATGGTCAGCTTGTCAGCTGTCAAATATCCCATGAACAGATTAAAACCTGAAATTTCTGTCATTAAGACTCAGATTGACAAATTTCAGACTCAACAGCAGATAATTAGTCAAACCAATAAGAGCATCATCCCCAAGTTTAACAGACAAAGTTTAAGAGAAACTCTGTGCAGTAAACTTTTGATGTTTGTGATTCAGGTTGACTATGCTCATACACAGATGGTTAATATGTCTATAGCAGACCTTTCTTTTCCACCTAAGTCTTAACCATTTTTGAAACTGAAATTGAACTTTCAGACTTCTCCAGCAAGCATGAAAAACAGCTATAGCCTTAGATCCAGTTAGCATTCAGACTAAAGAGTGCTTTTCTAAATCTCATTAATACTAAAAATTAGGAGATTTTCTTTCACATTAGTCTACCAATAGTTAACTGAGAAAAGTCTAACAACAAGACTATTTTATTTGATAGCTTAATGCATGCTTAATTTTATCTCAAAGCAGTACTAGTGATTCCCATAGTGATGACGAGACGCATCAGTCCTATTTGCATACACCTGCTGCTGCTGCTGCTGCTTCATGGTTGTCTACTCGTCGTCCCGATGCTCCATGGACAGGACCACCGTGACGAAGGGGGGACTGTAGCAATCAAGACAACCCTGGGTGTGAAACCCACACATTCCTCACAGGAAAGCTTCCTTATCTGGTCCCAGGAAACAGGATATAAATCTTTCCAGACTCGTTTACACTTTCAGGTTAAATAAGTGACCCAACCGGAGGTTGACTAAACCTCTGACTCTTCACGATTGGTCGATTCGGAGAACAGAGACAGAGTTTTTATTACCTTTCAAACTGACTCCATTACTGACCATCTAAATAAACATTAACGTCTCAACCCAGATCTCCCATTTGAGATTTAGCGTCTTAAAGTGTTTGAACATACGGACCCCAGGATAAGGGGGGACACTGACCTCCAGACCTCGGTCGTAAAACCCTGCTCGACCATACACTGATAAAGACTGCATTCCTTTGGTGAAAGAATACAAATGACTGATCATGACATCTTATGCATTCAGCAATGTACTAATCTGTCTAATCATGAAATTTGTGTTAAAATGAGATGTTTCCCGTTTTTCTATGTGCTTCGGAAGCCAAGTTATCTTATCTGACAGAATAAATCCTTATTCTTTAGTTCTTTAGACCAACAGCTTTTCAGACTGTTTCATGAACTTTTAAGAGTTAAATTTATTGACTATGAATCCTAAGTTTACTCTAAGTAACAGAAATAGTTTAGAAATGTTTGGTTTATATTTTAGTTATTTATTTAGTATCTTAACCATTAGGTGGTTATAATGTCACTGAATAATCTGAATGTGAGTATTTAGAATCCATTATTAATCATGATGACGTTCATTCACATGTGTTTACTCTTTTGTTGTTCACAGTTTCTATGTGTTACTATCTGTTTCATTTCAGAGTAATTTAGCATGTTCAATGTGATACTTAAAACATAATGAGAATGTTTGATGTGATCCTACACTTCATTCATATGTGTTTAGTATCAAATTATTTATCATGAAACCAAGCATTCAATGATATTAATCATAGTGAGTGAGTATCAGATCTGACTCTTTTACCAGCCAAAAGAATAAGTTAGATCAAATAATCAGAGACCCGATGACCCCCTCCTCTTTCTCCTCAGACACTCCCAGTGTGAGAAGATAAAACCAGTGGAGTGGGGTTGCACGCTCTCTTATCTCTCTTATGCTCCTCTTATCTCTCTTATGCTTCTGCTCTTCTGCTGACTCTCTTGTCCCCGGCTCTTATGCCCCTTCTCTTCTGCCCACACCCTTCTGTGGTGCGTTTCTTTGTTTTCTCTTAGAACTTTTTCTTAGTCTTCTAAGTTTTACGCCACGTGTTGATTCACGTTGATTTTTCTTTAACATCGTCTTAGTTCAAGTTTTGAAACTTCAACTTTTTGTGCGCATAGCAATTCAAGATTAAGCCTTTGATTGATTTTTCTTTAATTTCGCGAAGCCATTTTTGAAAGTTTTCTCTGCTCTTCGAGCCTCGTTTTTCTGAGTTTTCTGCGTGATTTCAAAGTCACCTCTGAACGCAACCCAGCAGGCCCAGGTCATCCTCTGTGCCAGAGTTTTTGAGTGAGACCAAAGAAGTACCCAAACGAGCATCCACAGGATCCACAGGCGCTGGCTTTGCTTCGGGCCCGAGTGCTGCAACTCCTGGCTCATCCTTCGGCTGACTTCAGTCGTCTTCTGAGCTGAACCGCTCGAACCGCCAGTAGCCCCGGACCTTCGGAACCTGCTCCATCTTCTCCAAGGACCAGTCTCACTTAAGTATGCAAACCTCCAGAGCTCCAGACAGGGCTGATGCTGTCTCACGCGTTCATAACTCAGATATCCACCTATTTCTGGTGATCTTAGATTCCTCCAAATCTACACCCGAGTTTATCTCGACACCAAAGTTAGTGTAGGTTAATATGTTAGCGCATATTCACTCACTATCATTAACTTTAGTGCTCCTAGCCTGACTCAGAATCTTTATTTATTCACCTATTATTATCTATCTTCATTATCTTATCATCATTTATTGCATGTGTGTTGTACCATCATTTATCCTGTAATAAACAGATCATTATTTTTCTAAGTTCCTGTCTGTTAGTGTTCTTCCAGAAGTGGAGTCCCTGAAATTAGAATTTCGACTTAAGATATGAGACTGATTAATTAAGACTGATTAATTAAAACTGACTTGATGTTTGATTTCTGAATTAAACTTTTGTTTTCTTTATTTTCCCACCATTAAGGGTGGGTGGTGCCCCTTTCAACGAGTGCATAAATGTCATAATTTGAGATTATTAATCTTCTGACATTTATTATAAATTCCAATCGCCAAGTATTATTTTGGTGCGGCCTTGTGAGGCTCATTTCAAATCGCTACATATATTTTGGTGCGACCGTATGAGGCTCATTTCAAAACACTACAGTAATGATAATGTTAATGATCATTTTGATAATGATGATGATGATCCTGATAATGATTAAAATGAAGATGATGGTGATGGTGATGACAATGGTAATGATGATAATAAATATGATGATGATCATTGCTTTGATTAAAATATAGATGATGATGATCATGATGATGATGATGAAGATGATGAAGATAATGATGACAATGTTAGGTGATAATAATTATGATGATGATGATGATGATGATGATGATGAAGAAGATGATGATTATGATAACAATAAAATAATAATAATAATAATGATGATAATGATAATGATGATGGAGATGATATAGATAAGTGTGATGGAGGCAGAGACTGCAGCCACTTAGGCCTTTTTCTCTGTCAGTCATGGACCAGATTCACAATTTACCTGTACTGTTACTCAAGTTTTACTTTCAGCTGTTTTTCCATAGCTCTTCTTAAAGTCTTTCAGGTTAGATCAGCTGATAGTTATAGTTATAGTTATAGTTTATTTCGGCTTTGAAACAAGGTATATTCCATTCCATGACCTGAAATCTGTAACCAATCACCACTTTATAGCCAGTTTAAATCTCTAACTCTGGACTCACCACCTGGTCCTGTCTAGGGGTTGAGTTTAGAGTCAGTTTCAATGGTGACCCAGACCTATCACACAGAAACCTCAATTTAAAGCCAACAGGCAATATTAATCTCAAACCTCAACTCATAGTCCTCAGGTAGATTTAAAATGTGTGTGTCTGTGTGTCTGTGTGTCTCTGTGTTTGTGTTCTACCTACATTCCCAAAGGCAAGCAGGACAGTGTCAAAGTACAACAACACTCCAAAGAGCAGGAAAAACAGCCCGAACCCCATCAGACCCATCCCTATCTCTGAAAGACACACACACATATACAGTATGTAAGCAGGACACACACACACGCACACACACACACACACACACACACACACACACACACACACACACACACACACACACACACACACACACACACACACACACATATACATCCTATATCCTGACCCAAGTTGACAGTCCTGATCCTTGTCTCTTTATAATGATCCATAGTGAGATGCTCAGACCAGGACTAGTCTGCAGGACTAATCTCTGCAGTCTCTGAGACCCTCACAGGTCCACTCTGATCAGATCACTACCTGGATTACCTAAGGTATCTGTTTAAACTGAAACTGAGTCAACATGGATACACCTCTTTTTTACAGTATGACAATGCACATTTTCTGCTGTGTAATACTACACCATTTTTACTGAATATTGCATATCCATATCTTTTCAGTGTAGTTGTAAACATTTTCACGTGTTCCACTAAACAAGTGTTCCACTATATTTCACTTTTTTCAGTGTTAAATACCAGATTATTTTTTATAGTGTAAGACTTACTCTGCATCTCAGTGACGGCCGTCATGCTGGAGTCCTCACGTCCCCCTTCTTGTCTCTCTGTCTTAAATATGGACGTGTCTCTCCAATATAAACATCTGTTTGTCTGTCTGTCTCTCTTTGTCTCTGTCGCTCTGTGAGGATTTTAAGTGTGCGTGTTGTCTCTGGTTGTTGACCTTTGTGCGCTGATGTTATCACAGTGTGAGCTGATTATCAACCTGAGCAGGTAGGTCCACTCACCTGAGTAATGTCATCAGACTGTGACTGTCTTCTCACTCTACTCATGAGTCCATGTAGTCTGTACTACCTCTGCCCAACAGTTGTGGGGGGTTGGGTGTTGCAGCTGATTCCAGAGACTTCAGTGCTGTTCGTCTCACAGAGCCCAGTTTTATAGATCATTTTCACTTCTATGAAACACAGTGTTAGCCTGGCATGACACAGTAAATCAGCTGATCCCAACACCAGCCCATATCAGCTAATGGCTCAGCTGATATCCAATCCAGGAAACAAGCTCATATTTGATCATTGACCCCACATAGAAACTATTGGGGCCTTCTTGATCATTCTCTAGTCATGTGATTGCTATCTAGCATCTATATAAACTTAATCGGCCCCAATGCCATGGAGTCTTTATTTAAGCTGCACAGCTTCTGCCCCTGCTGGTGCTTTAATATCGGCACATGGGGGCCAAGGATATTTGTCTGTATCATTGTTTTGCAAGAAGCATTAAATTTATACGACATTATGTAGAAATCACAAAAACATACAGGTGAGGGATAATACTGTTCTACACCATGTAAGTTGTTGCTAATGCCCTCCCTGCCATGGGTTTTCATGCATGAACGTGAACATGAAGCAGTGAGGAGGTGTGCTCTCCCTGCTGCAGGCTTTAGTCTTCCACATGCACTTGGAGGAAGGTAGGGAGCTCTCAGAGAACAGCCCAGGGGTCCTTGCTTATTCTCTGCTTAATTTGGCTTTTTGGATATGCACATATAGAGGTGTGCTCTCCCTGCTTCAGGCTTTACAGTATAAAAACTACGAGCATCAAAAGCATTAAAGAAATCTGAGTCCAAGCAAATGTCTCACATAAATTACTGGTGATGTATATTGTGTTCATGCAAAGGAAACCTGGAAAGGACAGGTAGCTCCCAGACCAGAGTCATCCTGATAATTACAACTAACACATCCAAATGACCTTTCTGCAGAATCTGTTTCACAGTTCCGACAGGACCACTTCGGTCCAAATAAAAGAGTCAAAACACATCCAAAGTAAGTATGTTTTTGTTATAACTTGTGCTGGAAGGTCTGTGTGCCAACAGTGCTGCCCCCTAGAGTCTCAAATTCTCAGTCCTGTCCCCTGGAGTCTCACTGCTGCCCCCTACAGGCAAAGTGTGTTGTTATGAATGAGGACAGATCACCGTTTCTTTGTTGCTTTTCTCTTTATTGATGCAGACGTACAGTTTGAAATAACAAAGTCGGTCTTTATGGGTTTTGGGGACATTAATGTCAGCAGGTTTTTTGGCAGTGAACTTTATTGAAAACAGGTGATAACAACAGTAAATATTTCATCTTTCAGGCAGCAGACGTCATACAAAATACTGAGAGGAACCAGAAGCTTCTAGAAACACTTGGTTTGTTTACATTCACTTTATTGCAAGCCTATAATTATTATTATTCATCTTTTTATTATTTGCATAGTTCAAGCAGTTTGTCTATCTCCCAAAGTAGCAGTGGTTACATCTGCAGATATACTGTAAATGAAAATATTATTATGTACATCATATGTATGGTTCAATCTCTAACAGATGCTACATGTGGTATCAAAGATGAAGTCTACCTTTACCCGTCTGTTTTTTCTCCTCAGGTACCAATGAATATCAAAGTTCAGTTTGACAACGAGCGTCTGTCAGAGAGACTGCATTCGCGCGAACACGTCGTCTGTTCGTCTGAGAGTGAAAAAACTGAATCAGTGTAAAAACTGTGCAGATAAAAAAAATACTCCTTTCCTCTCTGGCCATGCTCCCTTTCTCTAAAAAATCAAACAAAAATAGACGTTTATTTTTCTCTGAAATCCTTTACTTTCTGTGGAGAGATTCTGTGTGCTATAAAAAACATCGATTCTGAAACATTTCTGACTCTGAATGTTTCCCAGCTTTCTGCAGGTTCACAAGACAGGTGAGTATGAATAATACAACTGTTTATAACTTAACCCAAATAACCTGCACTGTAAAACAAATTAGTTTAAATTACTCTCTCTGAGGCCCCGAGACTACACCTGATCCGAATAAACTTTAAGTTCTTCAAAGAGTTTCTCTTTGAGACACTTTTTGAGGTCAAAAATAGTCCCAAACTTTTAAGGAATAAAAATGAATGTGCTGCTTTTGTAAACATGGAGAGTGTTTCCTCCCAAATTCATTTTACAACAACTAGAGCTGAAAAAAAATGTTAATCATAAAACTTCAAGTCAAGAAAGAAAAATGGAGTCCAGATCAGCACTGGACCATCACTAACAGAGACATGAGTCACTACAATGATATTTGATGTAGTTCATTAAAGCTCCTGTGAGGAGGTGGTATCAGTTGGAGGCAAAACTAAACTGGAGGCAAACATGAATCTGCACCACAAGCCAGCTTAAGTCTCCAGTATCCTTCAGCTTCTGTAAGTGTTGTTAGTCCCAAGGTCAAATTTTCACTAAGCCCAAACCCTGACCATAAGATTTAAAAACTGAGGAAAGACTAGACAAGAGTGGATCAGTCAGACTGTCTTTATGGGCAGCCCTGAGACTAAAACTTCTTCGGAGGAAACAGCACCTCAGAAAACTGCAGTTTGTCTGACTTTTATTTTGACAGTCTTGTTTTTGCCTTGATTTTTTTCCCCCACTGTTAATCCATAAATTTATTTTGAAGTGTAATCTACCTTTTGTAGATCCTGAATGTTGAACTGACCAGTAAATAGGCTGGTTCAATATAAACCTTCTGTGTCAGTTTTTTAAGTGTCTGATCATCTCTCAGAGCAAAGCTAAAGCTAGCACGTTAACAGCTGCACCTTTTCGTCTCTCCTCTTTTTAACATAATGTGACCACTGTGATGAACTCACAATATTGAGGTTTCGTTTCATTTTAAAAGAACTTTTTTTGACAATACTGGTGGTTCTAACAGATCTTATCGGTGCCAGAAGTGGAACTGTGGACTGGACTGGACTCAGGGGTCTGGGCTAACCTTGACCCTGCAGCGTACACCTCAGACCACTGAGCCTATGGGCCAGTTTGATCACAGTTTTCTGGGTTTACTTCTACCTTGTCTCTCACTATTGTGGAAAATATGATAAAAACATATGACCAGATCTGGTTAACACGTCTACAGATAGGTTTCGCCTCCAGCTGAGCCCCGCCCACCAACAACTATCATACTGTTACTGACCCTGAAAGGGTTCGTAGATCTGGTATGTGTGGAGCAGGCACAGACTGATCATCCGTTTCTATCTTTTAAGATATTTAGGTGTCTATGATAAACATTTAAAAACAGCGGTGTGTGTGTGTTCGTGTGTGTGTGTGTGTGTGTGTGCGTGCGTGCGTGCGTGCGTGCGTGCATATGTGTGTGTTGTATGGCACTGCATGAACCACAAGTGATGATATATTAAAATGAAGTTAACTATGAATCTTCTGGACTGACTTCATGTTAGCTATATCCTCTGAACACCAACATGTCTCATTCTCTAAGGTCACTTTCACAGATCCAACAGACTTAATACAGACTGACCTACATGCTATAGAAACCCACTATCAGAGGGGGAGGGGCTCTTTGACCGACACTTAAAGAACAATGCGTCTACAAACACTCAGGGAGGTTGCTCTGATTCACATCAGTCAAATTCCTGTCTTCTCCTGGTCTTAGTGTAACTTGGACTTAAGGATGGACAACAGCTCTCATCAAGAACAAAAGTGCAGCCAAAATCCCACACCTGCACCTGCAGACATCCTGCCCTGTTCTTTAACAAGACCAAGATTTATCACGTCCTAGCTCCCTCGGGTCTGTCCAGTCCAGGTCAAAGCTCCCTCAGATCTGTCCAGTCCAGGTCAAAGCTCCCTCAGGTGTATCCAGTCCAGGTCAAAGCTCCCTCAGGTGTATCCAGTCCAGGTCAAAACTCCCTAAGGCGTATCCAGTCAATCTTCAAGCTCCTTCAGGTAGATCCAGTCAACTGCAGATCAAGTTTTGTTGCGGTTTGAAGCTAAAAATCAGGGTGCATCGTGTTTTAGTCTCAGGAACTTTTCCCAGAGTCCAAGACCTTTTTGAAGCAACTCAAGGTCTAGATTTATTTTAGTGGTAGATGGCGACTTTTGGGAAGTCCTGTCTCGGCTGATAGTACTCTGACCCTCTCTGAAGACATTTACATGAAGTAGGTACTCAGTATACATATAAATACCAGAGGCAGTGTGCAAGGACACAACAAGGAGAAAGGAGGGTGTACCTGGATGAAGGATGCCGTCATAAAGTTCTTGGGGTTGCTCTTGTCAGGAAACACTCTTGTTTAATTATGATTTGCTGATTAATTTTCAATAACGGGTTAGAGGTCCAAAAACAAAAGAGATGACCGAAGAACCAATCCCCCCTCTAACCTCATGCGGTATAGTAACCACAGCCTACCGGTCATAGTAATCTTTTCTTTTAGCAAATAACTGACCTGGACTAGTTTTCTGCTGTTGGCCTGGTTTGTATAAAGTTTTCAGGACTTTTCAGGCCAGGGAGGAAATGCAGATATCAGCAGGCCTCATTTACCATCCAGAGAAGTCCCAGGAACTTAAGGTTCCAAGTACTCTTGTTAAGTTTTCTCTCTCAATTCCTCTTCTGCTGTGATAATACAGCGCACACAGTGCTGCAGTATTCTCATTGCTCTACAAAGCTGTCAATCATGTGTTATAGCCCTTTTTATAGTGTCAAATAAGTGATTAATAATTAAGTGAATAAGTGAAACTGTCAGAAGAATTAACGCTGGAACAGAAACTATTATGTTATGAACTGACTCTAATGA